GAAGATGTACATGCCTCTTATAGCCGGAGAAGATGGTATTGTACAGCTCATCAAGCAACCAGGAGCTACTCTAGAGGCTGGTGATATCCTCGCCATACTTGCTCTGGATGATCCATCGAGAGTCAAGCATGCTCAACCTTTCTTGGGCCACCTACCAGATCTTGGACCACCACAAATTGTTGGCACCAAGGCTGCTCAACGTTTCGTACTCCTCCATAACATTCTCAACAATATCCTTGATGGTTTTGACAACCAAGTCATCATGGGTTCTACTTTGAAGGAGTTGATCGAGGTTCTTAGAGATCCAGAATTGCCATACGGTGAATTCAATGCTCAATTCTCGGCTCTTCACGCAAGAATGCCACAAAAGTTGGATGCTACCTTGACTCAAATTCTTGACCGTGGTAAGTCGCGCAACGCTGAATTCCCAGCCAAGAACCTTTCAAAGGCTCTTCAAAAATTCTTGGAAGAGAATGTTGCTCCTGGCGATGTTGATCTTCTTACCGCTTCTATCTCTCCATTGATTGAGATTCTGAACCGATACCAAAATGGACCAAAGGCTCACGAGTTTGCCGTCTTCTCTGGTCTTCTCGAGAAGTATGCTTCCGTCGAGCGTCTCTTTTCTGGCCGTACCTCGCGTGATGAGGAGGTTATTCTTAAGCTCAGAGATGAGAACAAGGATGACATTTCCAAGGTTATTCAAATCGTTTTGTCGCACAGCAGAGTCGGTGCAAAGAACAACTTGATCCTCGCTATTCTCGAGGAGTATCGACCAAACAAGCCCAATGCCGGCGATGTTGCTAAACATCTCAGACCTTCTCTCCGAAATCTCACTGAACTTGAGGCCCGTCAAACTGCCAAGGTTTCCTTGAAGGCACGTGAGATTCTCATTCAATGTGCTCTTCCATCCTTGGAGGAACGTGCTGCACAAATGGAGCACATCCTTCGATCTTCGGTTGTTGAATCGAGATATGGTGAGACCGGATGGGAACACAGAGAACCTGATATTGAGGTCCTCAAGGAGGTTGTTGATTCCAAGTACACTGTCTTTGACGTCTTGCCAATTTTCTTCGGACACAGTGATCCTTGGGTCTCGCTCGCAGCTCTTGAAGTTTATATTCGTCGTGCCTACAGAGCATACTCTCTCAAGAAGATTGAGTATCACAACGAGAGTGCCGAGCCTCCTTTCATTGTCTCATGGGACTTTGTCTTGAGAAAGGTTGGAGCTTCAGAATTTGGCATGCCAGTTCAATCTTCTGCTCCCTCGACACCAGCCACCCCTTCACATGAATCCGGCAACCCATTCAAACGTGTCAGCTCTATTAGTGATATGACCTATCTTACCAACAAACCTGATCATGAACCAACCAGAAAGGGTGTTATTGTACCAGTTCAGTATCTCGACGAAGCTGAGGAGTACTTGCAACGGGCTCTTGAAGTCTTCCCTATGTCTGGATCCAAGAAGAAGGGCAATGGTCTTTTACCAGAACTTGGTGGCAAGCGCAAGGTTGCACCTCCCCGCCTTGATACTGAGGACGAGCTTACCGCCGTCTGCAATGTCGCCATTCAAGATGCTGAGAGTCTTGATGACAATGAGACTGTCGCTAAGATCAAGCTGATCGTCAACGATTATAAGGAGGAACTTCTCAACCGTCGCATTCGTCGTCTCACGTTCATCTGTGGTCACAAAGATGGTTCGTACCCTGGATACTACACTTTCAGAGGCCCCAACTACGAGGAAGATGAGAGTATTCGTCACAGTGAGCCCGCTTTGGCTTTTCAACTTGAGTTGGGAAGACTCTCCAAGTTCAAGATTACCCCCGTCTTCACCGAGAACAGAAACATCCACATTTATGAGGCTGTTGGAAAGGAAGCTACAAGCGATAAGAGATACTTCACTCGTGCTGTCGTTCGTCCTGGAAGACTTCGTGATGAGATTCCTACTGCTGAGTATCTGATCTCTGAGTCTGACAGATTGATGAATGATATTCTGGATGCTCTTGAGATCATTGGAAACAACAACTCTGATCTTAACCACATCTTCATTAACTTCTCTCCTGTTTTCCCTCTTCAACCTCCCGAGATCGAACAAGCTCTCGGTGGTTTCTTGGAGCGATTCGGTAGACGTCTTTGGAGACTTCGTGTTACTGGTGCTGAGATCCGTATTATCTGCACGGACCCATCCACTGGCATGCCATATCCCGTTCGTGTTGTTATCACCAACACTTCTGGTTATGTCATCCAGGTCGAGATGTACGCTGAGCGTAAATCTGAGAAGGGTGGTGAGTGGGTCTTCCAAAGCATCGGTGGTACCACTAAGATTGGTTCCATGCACTTGAGACCAGTATCTACCCCTTACCCCACCAAGGAATGGTTGCAACCAAAGAGATACAAGGCTCATCTCATGGGTACCCAATACGTGTACGATTTCCCAGAGCTTTTCAGACAAGCCATTCAAAACAGCTGGGTCAAGGCTGTCCGCAAACACTCCTCTTTGGCAGACAAGCAACCCCCTACTGGTGAATGTATCGAGTACAGTGAACTCGTCTTGGATGATAATGATGGTCTTGCTGAGGTCTCGCGCGAACCTGGTACTAACACCCACGGTATGGTTGGTTGGCTCATAACTGCCAAGACACCAGAATATCCTCGTGGCCGCAAATTTATCATCGTCGCCAACGATATCACTTTCAGAATTGGTAGTTTCGGACCAAAAGAAGATCAATTCTTCCACAAGTGCACGGAACTTGCAAGAAAGATGGGTATTCCACGTATTTACCTTTCTGCCAACTCTGGTGCTCGTATTGGTATGGCTGAAGAACTTATGCCTTACTTCAAGGTTGCCTGGAAGAACCCTGAGAGACAAGAAGCCGGCTTCAAATATCTTTACTTGGATACTGAGGCCAAGAAGAGATTTGAGGATGGTAAGAGCAAGGACGTCATTACTGAGGAGGTTGTTGAGGATGGTGAGACGAGACACAAGATTGTCACTATCGTTGGTGCTGAAGATGGTCTCGGTGTTGAGTGTTTGAAGGGTTCTGGTTTGATTGCCGGTGCCACTTCAAGAGCTTACGAAGACATCTTTACCATCACTTTGGTAACTTGTCGTTCAGTTGGTATTGGTGCGTACTTGGTTCGTCTTGGTCAACGTGCTATTCAAATTGAAGGACAACCAATCATCCTTACTGGTGCCCCTGCCATTAACAAGCTTCTCGGTCGTGAAGTTTATACTTCCAACTTGCAACTTGGTGGTACTCAAATCATGTACAAGAATGGTGTCTCTCACATGACTGCCAATGATGACTTTGAGGGTGTTTCCAAGATCGTCGAATGGATGGCTTATGTTCCAGACAAGAGAAACAGCCCTCTACCAATTGGACCTGCCGCTGACTCCTGGGATCGCGATATTGTATACACTCCACCTGAGAAGCAACCTTATGATGTTAGAAACCTCATCGCTGGTAAGGAAGACGACGAAGGATTCATGCCAGGTCTTTTCGATAAGGACTCCTTCGTTGAGACTCTTGGCGGATGGGCAAAGACTGTCGTCGTTGGTCGTGCTCGTCTTGGTGGTATTCCAATGGGTGTTATCGCTGTCGAGACCCGCTCAGTTGAGAACATCACACCTGCCGATCCAGCAAACCCAGATTCGACCGAACAAATCTCCAACGAAGCTGGTGGTGTCTGGTATCCCAACTCCGCTTTCAAGACTGCTCAAGCTATCAAGGACTTCAACAATGGTGAGCAATTGCCGTTGATGATCTTGGCTAACTGGAGAGGTTTCTCTGGTGGTCAACGTGATATGTACAACGAAGTTCTCAAGTATGGAAGTTATATCGTTGATGCTTTGGTCAAGTACGAGCAACCAATCTTTGTCTACATTCCACCATTTGGTGAGCTCAGAGGTGGTTCTTGGGTCGTCGTTGATCCTACAATCAACCCAGAATTCATGGAAATGTACGCTGATGAAGATGCTCGCGGTGGTGTTTTGGAACCAGAAGGTATTGTCAACATCAAGTACCGTAAAGACAAGCAATTGGAGACCATGGCCCGTCTCGATCCAGAATACGCTGAACTCAAGAAACAATTACTCGACAATGCTGCTGGACAGGAGAAGTTGGCTGAAATCAAGGCTAAGGTTGAGCAAAGAGAGAAGGCATTACTTCCTGTCTACAATCAGATCTCGCTTCAGTTCGCTGATCTTCACGACCGCGCTGGACGTATGAAGGCAAAGGGTGTTATCAGAGACTCATTGAAATGGAGAGAGGCTAGAAGATTCTTCTACTGGCGTGTACGAAGACGTGTGAACGAGGAGTACATCCTTAAGCGCATGTTATCTGCCAACTCGAAATCACCAACTGGTACCAGGCCAGAGAACTTGAGAAAACTTGCCGCCTGGACTGCAATTCCAGCATTCCAAACAGATGATAAGAGCGTAGCCATGTGGTATGAGGAGAACAGAAAAGTTGTTCATGAGAAGGTTGAACAAATGAAGATCGAGGGTGTAGCTGCCGAGGTTTCGGCTTTGCTTAGAGCTAGTGGACCTAGTGCTAAGGGAGGATTGAGTGGTGGTGCTATGGCTGGTATTAGACAAGTCTTGTCTATGTTGCCAGTTGAGGAAAGGGAAGAGGCATTGAAGTTTTTGGGAAGACCTTAAAGTTGGGTTATGAATGCCATGATTTGAAACGAGGGGTTCAGCATGATTATATGATCATATAAGATGGGATCTGGGATGGAAAGACGATTAGAGGATGATGCAACTTTTACTCTGTACTCTATTACAATTTCTTTCGTTTAAGCCATGTTTTTGGTATCTTGATAAATGACTGGTCGGTTTATAGTCTTTAAGCACTGCATTGCGTCGCGTAGTTAGAAGTATGATAAGATATAATTATTCATAAACATTGGGGTTTTCACTTGTGATGTATTTGATACCTGTTGTGAATTTGATTGATGAATGACTCGTGTTTGATCTGAGTTTAATGATGTTGTCCATCAGCAGCATGCCTTTCACTAAAATCTCAAGTCTTGCAATTAATCAGTTTCTAGATATATGAATAATACTAAAATTAATTTTCAAATTCATCACCGCCGTCATATCTATCCATCTATCCATCTATCTATTTCCCCATCGTAGAACAATTCCTGGGATACTGAATGGCTCTCTTAATCATGCTCTTCAGGGTATCACCGTTGACGCGATTGACGTAGTTGATCTTGCGCAGGCCGGGCGGCATCAGCGCTTCTTGGTAGGCGTGGATGTTGCCGTAGGAGGGGGAGCCGTAGGATGTGTCGACGTCGATGTAGACTAGAGGGGGAGGTGGGTTAGTGGGTGTCAAGATAGAGGTTTCGAAACGTGATTTGTAGATGCTATAGAATTTGTGCATCCATCGCGTATTATGATGGATGTCCACTCTCTGGGGATTGACGCAAAACATTTTCTTCGTCTATCGAATGCGATGTGATAGAGGAGAGAGAATTGGAAAATTGGGGGAAGAGGAATGATTGTCAGGAGGAAAGATCAAAATTAACTCACAGCTAGTAGAATTCTGCACAATCGATTCATCAACCATAATCGCCGCAGCAGTCTCATCCCAGAATGGAAATTCCGTGCCATAATGTCCCCATACCAATTCCGAGTACGGATTATTGACTTCCTTGATCTCGTCCAAGAAATCCTGTGTGCTCATAACCTGATTCGCGACATTTCCTGCGAAGGTGATTTTGGGGAAGTTGGCTGTGAATGCGATTTTGGCGGCTTCGGGATCGACCATCAAGTTGATGTCGGAGCTGAGATCGGCTTGGAGCACGCTGCCGGTTACTTGGAGTAGGTTGTCGTCTATGTAACCGCCCATTATGATAAGTTCTTTGGCGAGGGAGGCGAAGTTGTCGTCGGAGCGGACGGCGAGAGCGATGTTGGTCATGGAGCCGCCGGCGTCTAGGTGGGGTGTTAGTTTTCGAGTGAAGGTTAAACTTACGAGAAGATAAGCAGAATTCATAAACTTACATATGGAAACTTGTCCTGGATATCTATGCACCATCTCAATCATAAATGCACTCGCACTCTGACTTTTCTTCAATCCATTAATTGAATGGTTACTTGGCATTCCCTCTACGAAAGCTCCCTCGACAACTCTGAAAGGGTTGTCTCCTGATGTGGGATCACTTCCTTCTGCTTCCGCTGTAGCATTATACGGAGCAAATACACCCTCCCAAGGAAGTTTACCATGAACCGCCTCCCATGCTTGGAATCTCGTGGCGGTATTGATAAGCGGGAATGTAGAGCCCGGAACTACGGGGATACAGCTAGTCAGGTTACCGACAGAGAGGGTAGCTAGTGCATGTAGTGCGACCTGGTGTTGCCATGTATCTGCGGTACCTGAAAGGGAGGAAATCGTCAGCTGAAAGGTAGCTATAATTCTGAGAAGGTGAGGAGATACGCACAAGATGTTAGACCCAATACTTCCCATCCGGCATCGAGAGCGATGAGGAATGGAATGAAGCCCGTCGAACTCCAATCATTGTCCATAATAACATATTTGGTTGCATTATTGGTAGCATAACTAGATCCATATCCCAGCGCACTAGAACCGCATACCAAACTTCCCAAGCCCAAAAGGCCGGAGACGATGCGTGAACTTATCATCTTGTCTTCCGCGTAACACAGGGAAATACTCAAGATGGAACGAAAATGAAAAGGTGAAGAAAATCTCGAGAATACTCGTCACGAGATATATATATGAAGTTAAATGACCTACCCACCCTAATCACTCAATCTCATATCTAGCTCCACGGACGTCACCGAAAATTCTTTTTTCGTACCCACCGCTCCTCGTGGGAATCGAGAGAGATCGTCAGGAAACAGGACAAATGCAGTTACCTAAACGATATTGTATCTATTGCTGGGCCCCACATAGGTATTGATTGCACCGACTCTATGAAGTAATCAGAGACTTGTTAAGGTTATCGTTGTGGAAAGATGAGGGCTGGAAATGCCGCGATTTTACCGGGTGTGTGATACGGATTGGAGATTGGAGATTGATAGATGAAGTGAGGGGAGATCCTAGTTTGTTTGTGATGCGAAGGAGAAAATTGGTGGATGTCTTTCGTATCTTTGGAGATGACTGATTGATTGTGATTAGAATTTTTGAGAGGGATGAGATGGAAGTTGAGTTATTTTTCTCGTGATTATGCGACGCGTTGGTGCTGTGCGGGGAAGATCACAAAATACGTTTCCAGATTCAAATCGGAATCGTACTTTCCTGCTTTGAAGATCACAGTCCGGGCCACGGGGTACAGTAGTTTTATCGGTAGTGAGTGTATTCAGGAAAGATCGATAGATGTGATCAATTTGACCGCTTCCTTTTGATGTGTTAAACTAAACGCCCTCTGGTGAACTTTCATTGGAGGATTGCATTTACATGAAATCTGAACTCAACGATAGCACAGACAAACTGCCTTGATCAGAGCATTCAACGCTGTTCGTTTTGTTTGCCTTTGCATTCTCCAATTCTGCCATTCTGCTTCAATTATGCACGTTTGTCCAAGTCGAGAGAAAGTCGTTCGTGATTTTCGTGTCTTTGCCTGAATTGATTCTGCATACTATAGGGCTTCTTTGCGCGCTATAAAACAATTGATCGACGACATATCTCCAACGAGACTGTCTCGCTGCTGTCGCTTCTTTGCTTTTTCACACAGACATCTATGTGTCTTACTGCCTTTAAACCTTCAGACAGATATTATGACGTAAAAACAATGCGTTGAGAAGATTATGAATGGAGGTGCGAGCTTTCTTGTGGAAAGTCAACCTAATTCACGAGGAAAAGACTACCACTTTCCGGCGTAAAGACTGAAAGTTCATCAAAAAAGGGATATTGGTACCAAAGCCAGTGTCCAAGCATAATTTGAGGAAATAGTCGTCATCGAACTATGCCAAACTTCACAGCTAGTTGATGGACGACTGGAAGATGCGAGGTCACCTAGTCGGAGATTCAATGTGGGGTTGTCAGGCCCTTGTTCTTTCGCGCGCTAAACACCCCTGAAGATGAAACGAGAGTCACATGTCATTCAACAGTGCTGGAAAGAACTGATGATTTGATGGATTTCATGAATGCTTGTTGAAGATTGGTTTCACTTGAATCTGGAGTCTGCAAAAGAGGACAGTCATCTTTGAATTTTTGGGATTCTAAAACTTATAACTATATAAGACTTTTTTTCCACTGAGCTTAAGATAAAGTCTCTAGAATTCCTCCATTCTGATGAATTGAGGCGATAATTTGGATTTCATGCTACATTGCTCAAGGTTATAGCAGGTTTGCACAGATCAGATAGATACCTACTTCTTGTAGCAGTTAGAGACGGATTTATCACGAATTTTAATTCACATTGAAGATATTGAGAATACTTTTCCTTGAGTAATATTGAAATCGATTGAATTACCCAATTTCGTTTTCATACAGTGTTGGGAGAGTGTCCCACATCTCCTTAGTGACCTTTAAATCAAAAACATGAAGGATTTCATCTGCCAGCCTTATTCCAGCTTCCTCGCCATTTTCTCTGCTCCGGATGGCTAAGATCTCCTTGGCGTATGCCAAGATTGAGCTTCATCCGGGAAATACAACAATCCCGCCATTAAAGCATGGTGAGAACCTTTGGTTTTCCCATACTTGCTATTCAAAAGTGGCCACTTATCTTCGCTGCTTGACAGCAACCATTGACATAGGCGTGATTGACGAAAACTATCATAAAGTGGAGTGTTTCCCAATTGCAGAGGGCTCCCAGGTCAAGAATTGAATCTTGAGTTGCTGTGCGGCGAGAAGGAACCACTCATCCGCACTCACACTGAAGGGCTTAGGAACATGATGAATCAACCTATGCGTTACATCTTCTCGACTGGTCAAGGTCTGGTAGTCTTTCCATCGATCATCCAAATTCTTTTCCTTCGATCCTGAAAAATCTCCATACACAGCGCGCGATAGAAAAGGGGTTTCAATACACCGACTATCACGGCCAACACGACGGAAACCTGGGCCGATCCAGGTTTCAACCAGCCCGATAAAACATGGTTCATAGAAGGTGCAACCTTCCCCTTTACCAAATTTAACAAGTCTCTGCCACAGCTTTCCTTGGAAGAGGCTCCAGCAGGCTCGACATGTAAGGGCAAGACAGATGATGGTAGATAACTCATCTCGCTCCAATAGTGTATCGAAGAGCATGTTTATAATGTCGAGTGGAAACCCCTCGAATTCGCTTTTTTTTGTTGGGACAACATTGTCTAGCAGGTAACCATGTTAGCTTTCGATTCAATTAAGCACTTCTTTATATGAAATGATAATGGCAAATAGTAGTTGTCACAGAGAGTAGGATTTACTTACTGGTAATCGCAACCAATTCAGTTCCACGCGATTTAGACACAGTATCTTGAATCTGCTTCTTGGGCTTGCGGCGGTCTTTATGAATCTGTCGGGACATCGATCATGTGATCAAAGAGGGCACTGTATTAGCTAGCGTCGCGCTAGCGCTACCCTATATAAAGTACTAGCTTCCTATAGATAATAATGATCAAGAATGAATATAACCATAATAGACTAAAGTAATTTACACTTATATTAATCAAATTGATATCAATACTAATTAATAATATTATAAATTAAAGTCTTAGATTCTATTATAAAGTATTAGATATTTTATATAATATTTAGAATTAATAGAAATTTTGAAGAAATTATAAAGAAAATATTATTATATTTAGTATAATATGTTATCTTTTATTATAGTATTAAAGAATATATTTCAAATAATTATATTGGAAAAATATATTCAAAAAGATTAGTTTTGTTAAGTATAATAAATCAATCTTGTGTTTATTATGTATTCATTTTTGTATTGTATATTATATTAGGTAAAACAATAATCTTTATTATTATATACTTATAAAAACACTCTTTATATATATTTATATTTATAACAAACCTTCAAAATATTTATATATATATATTCTATTATATCAAATAATGATAACATTGTAATTCCTATTAAGAGTATTATTAATAAGAATATATATATAAAGAAAGAAAAGAAAGAATATAAAGAATAATTAGATATAATTAAGGAATAACAAAATAATAATGAATCTATTGTATTTGATATTAAGATGTTTATTATCTATATTAAATTCAAGTGTAAATAATACAATTATAAGAATATCAATAATAATAAGCTAATAGAGATTTTTTATAATGATTTCAAAATATTCATAATTATTCAATTTGTAAAAATCCATTAAATTGATATACAAAAATTATATATAATATTATATATATAAGAAGTGTATATATCAAAAATATATGTAAAGGTATCTATAATCTTATATGAATAATCCTGTAAATCTATTATTAATATATAAACAAAAGAATAAATTTAAAAAGTTTTAAAAGATTCTAATATCAAAAAACCCAAATTCAAATCCGGAATTGTTTGTAATTTCATTAAAAACAATTTCAAATATAAGGAGGAAAACGATAATAATAATAATATGTATAGTAGAGAAGGGGATTCTAATAATAATGGAGATAATGATGATAATATTAGTTATAAAGGCAATAGATTATTATGGGATAAGAAATCAAAGTATTTCAATATACAATTTTTTGTCAATTTATCAAAATTCTATATCAACAAGAAGAAATATAATAGAGATAATAATAATTTCGATTTCAAACTTTCGATATTCTATGAAATTATATGATGTATAAAGATATTAATAAATATATAATATAAAACATTCTTTATTATATTTAAAGATAATATATTTGAATTCTTTTATATCAATTATAAATCACTACTATTTATCTTTAAAGAATTATATATTTATATATAAAATAATTTTGAGGGAAATAAATATTAATGTAATATATTATCTAAATGGAATAATATTATTCTCAAATTAATTAAAAAGGAGAATAAAAATAAATCACTTAATAAATATTTTATTATTATAATCAAGCAATTATATATACTATAATATCGATTTGATTCTATTATACAATAGATGTTTTATCTATATAATAAGTTTATATTTATATATAAGAATATAGAGATATATAATCTAACTTGTTTTGATTTCAAAAAAGAAGTATTTGATTTGATTAATTAATTATAATAATTTATTAATATATAGGAAAAATTATATAAAAATAAGGAAGATATAGTATTATTTATTAATAAAAGATTTTATAATAATAATAATAATAATCGAAATGATTTTAGAGATTCTAGAAATAGTAATTTTAGAATAATAATTTTAGAAACAATTTTTATAATAAGTTATAATATTCTAATTTCTTAAATTAATATAATCAATATTGAATATATAAGAAAAAAGGATATCAATTTATAAAGTATTCTAAAAAGAAATAAAACAAATAAAAATGTGAATATAAAAAGAAGATTAAGAGTGATAATAATAATATATTTAATAAATATTATAATCAATAAATAATCAAATATAAGAAAGAAGTTATTAATGTAGAATTTAATTTAGAAATCGAAATAGATCTATTTTTTATAGATCTTAATATTGAAGATAATATAAACAAAGTATTTTTTGTAAACTTTAAGTCTATTAATAATTAGGAAGTATTTAATTAATTATCAATTAATATAATACTATATATAATAACTAGGAATTTAATTAAAATTATTTTATTAATAGAGAATATAATAAATATCTTTTATACAAACTATATAAATAAGGAATTCTATAATATATATATAAATATAATATATACAGAAAAGTCTATAATTGAAATCAAATAATATTATACATAAAAGCAAATCTGCTTAATTACATATAATCTACAAATAATAGATATTATAAATATATACTTTGAAAAGGGAATTATAATATCAATAGAATTATTCTATATTATTATATTATTTGAAAATATTGATTTCTATATTGTGAATATCAATATTTCATTTTTATTGAGCCTTAAGAATATAGATTATTTTAAAGTATTTTATAATAATATTATTAATTAGTTTATTATACTAAACAATTAATACTCTATTATTAGAAAATATAATTATACATTTTTAATATAAAAAGTGAATATAAATCAATTTATTTAAAAGTTAATCTACTAGAATAATTGTTATTTAACTATTATTAAACTACAATATTTATATTAATAATTCAATTACCTATTAGCACAATACTTTCATCAAATATTATAACAAATAGACTATAACAAGAATAATAATATTATTAAATATTTCATTAAATATTATAAATATTATCAAATATATAGCAAATTATCAGAATGTTTCAGATTCATTTTATTAAAGGATATTGAATTTAATTATACTATATACATCAATATTATATACATTATAAGCAAATCAATTCTGTATATTATTAATAAGATAATATATTATTAAATAATTTGATTTCTTAATAATATATCCACTAAATATATATTTGATATACTTAGGGAATACTAAATTAATATATATATTGGGTTACCAAATTATATTATTTACAATACAGAAAAGAATTTTATAAATAAAGAGTTTGTCCAAAATACTAAATTTATATCAATTACTATCAAAAGCATACTAATTGAAATATACAATTCTATAAATATTATAAAGAGATATTATTACTCTTTACACCATATATATAAGATTGTAATTAAAAAGCTTGAGAATAACAATCTGACTAAAATAATAATTTTATAAATAATAATAAAAGCTATAAATAATATAATAGAACCAAATAGACTTATTCCTATACTATTAGTTTATAGAATATATTCTAAATTGAGTAATATTAACCCATCAACTATAATAATTATTTAATATATAAAAACTATAAAGAAAACTATAGTAAAAGTATATTATATTTATATTAAGAAATAGATTACAAAGATATTAAAATTAAGAAATAGATTATCTATAATATTAATTTTTACTCTGCTTTTGAATTCTAAGATTTTAATATAAAAAAAAAGCAAAGAAGATAATATATTAAATAAATAAACTAAATTATACTTTCTAATTAAAATAGATAAAGAGATATAGAAGATAAAGCTTTTTAATAAATTAATTAAATTCCGTTTTATATTTATATAACTTTTTTATATAAAATCAGAAGAAATTAAAGAAAATAATAGAAATACAAATAATAATAATAATGATACTATAGTAATTAATATATCACAAATAAAGATATTACAATCTCAAATATTATTACTAATAATATAATCAAATATATAATTACATTAATATATAAAAAGTAATTTAATTAATATAATCAATATAATAAATATTGATATTAATTAATTACAATTGATTATATTCTTATAAGAAAATATATCTATAAAATATATAGAATCCCAATATAAGGAAATTAATAAATTAATAAAAAATGAAATCTTTAAAATTATTTTAAAAGTTAGTATATTATTTAGAACAAGATTATTCAAATTACAATTTATTAATAAAATAAAAAATAAAAATATTAATAAAATATAAACCAAATTACAATTAATAATTTAAGTATATCAAAATAAAAATAAAACTATTATTTTAATATAATTACTAATTATTCAATATATCAATTAATATATTGTTCTTATATTTGTTACTAGTTTATAAATATTAAATAAATATATTCAAATCTATTTATAAGATATTATATAGATATATATCTAATTAATTATAATATTAAATAAATCGATTTATATAAAAATATTGAAAAAGATTAGATTCAAAAATGAATATATTCTAACGTAGTTTAACACCGAGTGGCTCATATCACCAAGTAGCCCACTTTCATCTCAATTTATATCTTTTTCTTTCAACATATATTTTATTAATAATCTATAATAAATTCGAATAATCAAAAAGCTTATATACTCCTTATTATTGAAATTATTTATAAAGATAAAAAACTAAATATTCAAAAAACTATTATATTCTATAATATTCTTTATATAATTTTTTAATATAAAATGAAAGATTTATTTTTTTATATAGAAATTCGAACTAATAATTATAAAATTATAGAATTAGAAAAAAAAGTAATTATTTAATATATATTTAATATAAATTCAAGAGGATTTTTATTTAAATTAAAGAATATAGAAGATATAGTAAATTATATTCTTAAATTGAGGAATACGAAATGTATTGGAAAGCTTTGGGTATATTAATTTGTAAAATATTAAATTGAATTAAAGATATGTTTTAATTATATTTATAATTTTCAAAGAGCTTTCTATAAAGATTCTAAGCTTATTAAAAAATAGTTTCAATTAATTATGAATATATAAGCGAAATATAGCATTTTGGATAGCAATTTCTTAATTTCAATAAAACAACACTTTATAAAGGGATTATATATATAACAATAATGTTTCTTAGTATTAAGAGATATGTGAAGTAAAAGTAGTTTACTTAGGCAATCACGGAATAGGCTATAGCAATAATATATGGAAATGCTAAAAATGAACACTATTCTCTTATTTCTAATGGTTTAGGGGACGGTTCATCTCTTTAATTCGTTTACTAAAACCAGTCTTCCTGTAGAAGGACTTATTAAATCTACTATCTAATAAATGAACAAATTCCTGAAAATGATTAGAATGAATTGATACTATTTCAATAAATATAGATTAAGATTGAAAAGAGGTAAAATGAATGTTACATTAAATAAATATAAAAACATAACTCAATAGTTGTTAAGATATTATTAAAGCGAATAATATTATATATCTAAATTTACTACTATATTCAAATCATTTAACTTAATCATTTAATATTAATTTTTTGATAATCTGAAATATTTATATGGTATTCAAATTGATAAATTTATTAAGATATATTATAATTATATTTTGAAGATTAAATTCTTTATAGTTTTCAAAACTGTATATTAAGAATCAATTACCTTTCAGAATAAAAACAGGATTTCAAGGAATAGATTTAATTCTATTTAATTCTAAAGCTATATTCTCAAAATTAGATATTCGAATTTGTATATCTACCCCTTCTTTTTTTAATTTAAATCAATAAATCTCTCAAACTTTTTATAATCTAATTAAAACTCTTTTTCAATTAATATTAATTAAATCTCGAATAATTTATTATTAATTAAGCTTTTTTATTTATATTCGAAATTAATTAGCTTTAGTTAAGGGTATAAAAAGATTAGCTTAAAAAATATATTTTTAAATATAAAAATTATACATTCAAACAGCAAATAAAGTATTAAGCAAATATTAATACACAAAAAAACTTAATTATATTAAGGAAAAATGCTTATTAAATAAAAGACTCTTAATATATATCTCAATAAAAAATTAATATTTAGATTTAAATAAGATAATATCAAAAAAAAAGGAATTCTAATAAAAAAGCATTTTCTAATCAATATTATGTAAATATGGAAAATAGGATATAATATAAGAATCTATCAAAATAATATAATAGATCCTAGATTATTAGATTTTTAATAATTTCAATCAATTGATTCAATTATTGTTGAATAATATAAGTTTGAAAGTGTAAATTGAGGTGAAAGTGGGCCACTCGGTGATATGGGCCACTCGGTGTTAAACTACGTTATATATTATTAAATTCTTATATAATATTCCTAAAGTAAAAAACCATTAGTTTGAAATTTATTATAATTATTATAAAAATAAACTAAATATAACATAATCTATATATAATTCCTATTTATTCTATTCTAATAATAATATTAATATTATAGAATTTCAAATAAATAATATTCTTATAATTACAAATAAAAGATTTGTACATTTAAAATAAGAATAATTAAATAAAGCTTATTTTATAGCTAAAAACAAAGAATAACTCACTAAGAATCATTCACTTAAATTCAATAATGATTTAATTACTTTCAAAGATAATAAAATCTATTTAAATTAAAAAAAACAATATAATAATATTAGAATAATGATATTAGAAAACATTGATATATATAATATAAAAGGAAAAGTTCGAAAAAATATTATTTTAAAAAATCAATATATCATTTAATATATAAAAGGAATATATATTATAATTATATATTAATTAGAGATATTATATCATTTCTTTATTATTATTCAAATAATCAATCCAAAAGAGGAAAATATAATTAAACTTAATAAGATTATTAATAGCAAATGAATAATCTAATGAAAGAATTTATATTTATATCTCTAAATATGGATTTTATTCAATTAATTATATTTATAGATATATCCTTCACCAATAATACTAATTTATTATCACAAATTGATTATATTATATATCTAATAAATAAATATAATAATACTAATATTATTTATTAAATATTAATTAAATACAAAAAAATCACTAGGAATATACTAGCTTTTAAGTTATATATATTAATTCTAGACTTTAATATCAAAACAATTATTAAAAGTATTATTAATACTATTCTCAAATCTAAAAAGCTAATATTACTTATATTCTATATAAACTCAAAGTTATTATATAATCTATTAATTAAATTCAGTATAAATACAGAAAAGCGATTTCTAATCAATATTATAGTTTTAAAATAATAATACAAGAATAGAGAGATTATAGAAATTAAATGAATTGATAGAAAATCGAACTCTATAAACGCTATAATCAAAAATAACATATATCAAATATTAAAAAACTTAATTGATATTAACAAAATAGTTATTAAGAAAATATATTAAATAAAAAAAGAATATTATATTTAAAGGAATGAATTATAAACTAAAGCATATAATCATATTCATTTTTAGAAAATTATTAATATCAGAATATTGATTATATAATCAAAGAAAATATTATATTAACTAATATCGCATTAGCACTACCCTATATAAAGTACTAGTTTCCCATAAATAATAATAATTAAGAATAAATACAACTATAATAGACTAAAGTACTTTACACTTATATCAACCAAGTTGATACCAACAGAATCATTTTGCGTTCTGAGTATTTCTCCATCGTTTTCTATCGTTTTTCGAAGAGTATCTGCAATTACCGTAAAGAGTAAATATATGTTGCGAAGTGTAAATTTTGCTCTTGTTGAAGAAGTCTAGGAAGTTGATGTGGATTTTGAAGAACGTTGAGTGGGGTTTGAGATCTTTAAGTAGTTTTTGATTGAGGTCAATGCCGTATCGAATGCTCAGTACGGCGTATCTAATACTTTTAATCACGTTGAATTTATGGATAGTAGTGAGACGATTCACTTTATCGAGGTTTGTACAGCCGTGTTGCTGCTGTGAGTTTTGTGCCTGGGGACTTGCGTATAAATAACCACGTAATAGTCGGTCGCTTGAGAGCTGACTATTAGGTTGAGTGGAATTTATCACCGTCGCTCGTGAGTGATCATGTGTTTCAGTTGGTGGTATCTTGAGACTCATAACAATGAAAATGGGCTTATTAGACCTGCTACGCTCTTTACATCTCACAGTTGCAAATTCTTTTCGAATCTAGAGTGCATTAATGGAGATCGATCAAGTGGATTCGAGAAACTAGTGTGCTTGAAAGGACTGGAAATTCAAGCGAAATATCATTAATTGTGAACCAGCAGATTGATGAGTTAGAATCTCACGTTTACTTGTATTTCTGCTGAAACTACGATTCATTGCTAATTCCTATCTCGAATTCTCTCAATTAGAACTAGTTGCTTTGAATCTTTGAGCATTCCTAGCCGCACCGACCTCCAAAAGATAGTCTGAAAAGTTCATTCCTTTCCTCAGATCAGATAAATGTCTCCGGTAGAACTAACCTTCGAATACAAAGCCCGGAGGATGGTATATCACCACCTCAAAGATCGAAAAGCTTTTCTCCCATACATCCCAACCATACACTCTAAGTTCGCATCTTCTTAGCCACAACCCAGCTTATTCATTACTTGGATGGACCTCAACTCCGTTAGCAAGAAGAAGAAAGTACTGTTCCCAATCTTGCTTTGAAGCTTGAAGTATTGCCTCCCAAAAACACATACGCCTAGTTGTGTTGAGCACATTACCACTTGAACCATGATCTTGAATCCGTGTGCTAACGTACTTCCCCATAAAATGCCAAAGACCAGTCTTTTGCATTCCTGTAACTCTTGCATACTGGTCTTTCACCGCAAGATTGGTCATTCTCAAGTTTTCTCGAATTTGATCTTGATCGGGTGTTTGACCGAGCATCGATTGTCCTGGCAATATGTTTCCGGTCGAAGTCACTCCCGGGTATGGTATTCCGTGTAGCCATGGTCTTATCTCCGAAGGCGAAGCCATATTGACTAAACGAATTGGAAGTCCCGTCGATGTGAATGTACTCATTGTTAGTCCAATCATTGAGATTCCGGGCATTACGACGGGTAAATATTGCATGAGATTGCTACCGACTGTGGATAAATCTGGAACGGCTTCTTCAACATGTTTGACAAATTGGCGAACTGCTGCAAGATACCAATCGGTCCCCATTCCAAATGGATTTGGCAAGATAGCTTCTCCGACTGTGCGTCCTTGTCTTGATATAATGCTGCAATAATCTTTTGTTCGCTGGATTAGATCACACTCTGCGGGAGTGCCGGCTTCATCTCCATAGACAGAGCAAAGAAGAAACTGGTCGAGCTTTTTTGAGAATCGGTACTCTGGAACCAAAGAATCGTGTAGAAGTTTTGCGAGCGTATGTGGAAAATCTATCTGGCTAAATGGGTATGGTGGTTTTGAAATGAGTGATACTCCTTCTGGGTGAAGTGAGCGGAAGAATCGATAGTAAGCACGACCTGTAATGGCGATACAGACTGCTGTACATTTATCACGACTGTCAAGAAGTAATTCGATGATTTGGAAGATGATTTCGGCGGGGATCCGTGGATCTGCAGATACACGGGTCAGTGATAAGTCTAGTATTGGACTGCAGTAGTACGTTGATCTGATCATCTCATTCAAAAAAGGCAGTAGCTTACTTTCGATCTGTTGTAATTGCTGGTCCTCAATTTGGCTAAACCATTTCTCAACGCGGGACTGAACCTTGGGGTGTGCTGTTGATACGATATCATATTCCCACTGGTTCTCTGGAGTACTGCCTAGCTCAACCTCCTTTCCATTTGAAGAGGACATGGTCTCAATTTCCAATGTTGTATTACTATTTTAAGTGGTTGATGTTGAGTATAGCTGGTACAGGGCTGAAGAGATGAAGCAGGACGCAGAGATAACCATTATTTTGCCTACTTCCTAACCCTTTCTGGGTACAATTGAATGAAAGGCTTACACTATTGGCATTGAAAGCCTTGTCATTCCAAAAAGAAATTTCATCTTTGATTTAACATTCACTTCGAGAAACTGAATACATCTATGAGCCTCCTGGGATTATCTCGGCAATGAGGGGAGAACTCTTTGGGCCGAGGCCACCCGAGAACATTTTTCGGTTTGCTTGTACAGCAATGTGATCAGGACTATAAAGCCACCAACTTTGTTACTGATGGTAGATGCATTGATGCTTACCAACGCTATTTTCTAGCTTGATACCAATTATTCAAAACATACAGTTAATAATGATGAATACTACTGTCTCGCGCTTGAAACGGAAGCGAACAGGTAAAGTCCTTGAATTCCTTGGAGTTGTAACTTTTGTTTCTTTCCATTGTCAATAAAACTAATTTATTTCATTTAGATGCAAGATACAAAGCTCAAATTGTTCAATTCTATACCTTGACTTATCCGGACTTTCGCCAGAGAAAAAAGTCAAGGCTATCAAGTGAGCAATTGGAAAACAATCTTGTTTCGGGAGAAGCAGCTGTTGACGAAGAGGGTAAGATAAAATCAAACGTAGGCTGCTGAAACATTACTAATGCGAGTTACTCAACACAGGATCGAGTAATGGTTCAACAGTTACAGCGAAAACCCAGATACAAGAATGTGCGACAACAGAACTATCTATCGTTGAAGGCGCACCTACCGAAATCATCAACAGGATATTGAACACTTTTCTTGAACAAGAATTCCCTGATATCTTCTCAGCCCTTTGTTTCGGCTTGACTTCCCGCAGAAACTGGGCAATACTTCGTAACCTGGACCATACAAGCTATTTCAAAGAACATATGGACCAGATTCCCAGTATTATCGATTTCAAATACGACCAAATCCCATTGTTCAATCCGTATTGCGAGCAAGCTGAGTCAAACTCTGTCGATGACGAAAGTAATAGGAATGAATACACTTTCAAACACGTTAGTTTTAACCGTTGCTGGCCCCGTTTCTTGAAAGGACCGGTAATTGTCAGGAGTAGTCTTAATCCTTCTCAACGCCAGCAACTCATCTTATCAAAGGAGTGGATGGGCCCCAAATATCGTCCTCCAACTTCTTTGCTCATCCCTTCTTATCTATCCTGTGCTGTATATGGAGAATTGAATGAAGAAAGTATCGAAGAAGAGATTCTTGAGGATAGATTATATCATTTCATAATGTATCAAGCAATGAAGGTCAATATCCCAAGCCCCTTTGGACTGGGTGATGTATGGGAGGCTGTAGATATGACGAGAGTTAGTTACCAGAACAGACCCGGTTCTACTATGCATCTATTCACAGTATTAGGGCAAGAGACTGCAGAAGGTTGATAGTTGGCTGGATGGCAATTAGCATGGAATACAAGATTACCAACTACCTTTAACATCATCCGTCGATTTCTACTATCAGGTGCATTTGCACTGCGTTTTACACACTCATAGTCTCGTGAAGTATCTTATCGAATCCAGCTGATACTTTTACACACTAAAGTAGACCTCTGACTTGTGAGACTTACATGTAATCTTTCTCTTGCTGTCAAATCAGTGATACCATAAAGTGCTTTCCTAATTTTATGGAGTAAACATGACGTGACCTAATTTATTGGCCTGGCTGGCTTTACAAATTACAATAAATCAATAATATGTTCTATAAAATAAGAGACCAATCAAAAATCATTTTAGTATCTATTCCTGTTGATTAGATCACGTTTAGACGTCAATGTAGAGATTTGAATAAACCAATGAGAGCAGATTAAGCGAGTATTCTATGAAATCACCACTAACCATTCACAGTTGGAACATTCTAATATCTGCAAGGAATCTTGTTTTTGAAATAAGTCGGCTCTTGAATCATTTAACGCACTCGCAGGTTCCCCGCCGCCAAAATCCTACCCTCCAACACACCACAAAGGGCTCTCTGTCCTTTCCTTCAACATCTCTTACATCCACCTTCGATACACGCAAAGAGCAAATACCTGCAGCACAAATACAATCTCAACAATCAAGATGCCTCCTAGGCGTCCCCCAACTCCCAAGTCAAAGCAGCCTCAGTTTTTGGAGCCAAATAAACTCAGGTCAGACACCTATATCTTGCAAACTTTGGCACCGACCATAGTCAGCACCCCAGCACCCAATATCCCAACAACTATTACCACAACATATAACACCGGCCGACCTCTTCGCCCCGCTTCTGAAAGAGGTAATGGCGCTGCAACTGCCAGCCAAGTGCCTTTTGAAGTTCGAGACAGACTTACTGCGAACCCCAATCAGTTCGAAGGAGCTGAGGTCCACCGCCAGCATTTGATGCACCCTCGGGAGATTGCAGTGGAAATGACCGTTGACAAGGTTAGAAAGGCTCCTAGCGCTAGCCCAAGCCAACTTAAGTGTATGTGACTGCTGCTCTTCTGTTCTCTTTTTTCTTCTCCTCCTGTCTTTTTTATTTGAACGCGGATTTACGTTGACTAAAGATTTGCTAATATCTCACAGCTAAGAAGAGATCTGCAGAAGACACAAAGGCGGAGAAAGATGGAAGAAGCTCTCAACCTGCTCGTAAGAGGAGATATAATACTGCTAAGAGAAGAGGTAAGACTTTATCATTTCATAACTGTTGCTCTGTTTCAATTTTGGGTTTTCCTTGTCAACTGCCCAAACACTTCCGCTATCTATACTGCTATCTTTTCACAAGATCCTACGGCAGTTCTCCAGTTTTAAGCATCAGAGCACAGAGCGCATCGTATGTGCCTGGTCTACGGTAATTACTTTAATCAGGAAACATAGTGCCGTCTATTCATGTACATGTTCTGTTCTCACTCCGATATCATGTGCTGAGCCTTCTCAATTATCACTGCGTCAAAATCTGATCAATCTTTCATCTCAACCTTTCAGCATCAACTTATCTCACAGTTAATTTCCAACAAAAACGAGCTTCAGCTAACAACCTCCCCATTCCTAGCCGTCAAATTTGATTTCCCCACCGAAATCACCCGTCTCATCCTCCGATGTCTCATTTCCGAGCATCAAACTTTCGAAAGCGACTTATGCACCGCCGTCTGCTTCGGCCTAACCTGCCGTACCCACTGGGCCATCTTCCGCTCAATCTTCAGTGGCAAGATTCCCCTGCTCGTTCAATCCCCCAATACATTTAATCAGAGAAAAGCCTACGTCCCCTACCGACTCGGAGATCTCTTGGTCAAGTGGATGCTCCCGACATACCGTCCTTTGCCCTGCCAATTATTGGATGGCAAATTGGCAATCTCTGACACCGCGTCCATCAGTGTATATGTCAGTTTTGCCGCATATCCCCATGCAGGAGGCGAGAAAGATCAAAGGCTCACAGAAAGAATGGCCCAATATCGACGTAACTGTTTCATGGAATTCTACTGCATCTACCAGAATATCCGTCATGATCGCTATATCATTCCTCGCGGTCTCAACTGGTTTATCCCGAATCCATACCGAATGGGCGAGGAATGGTATCCTGCCACCATTCGATTTCTCAAACACACTATCTTTCGCTGGAAGTCCGATTGCCACATGGATCGCGAATATCATTGGCTTAATGATAAAGAAGAGTATACTCGCCACTACCAAGTCTGGTCGATTTACAAGACCTGGATGATAAGAGATTGGGTCGAGGCGCAACCGGAAGCAATGGCATACAAGCGATCGCGTGGCTTGGGTGAAGATAAGAAGAAAGTCGGTATGAGAGATGGGTTTGAGATGTTGAAGTTGGTGGATGTGCAGACGAAGGAACATAAGCTTAGGGTCAAGCAGATTGTTGACGTGATGCTGAGGTTTCTTGAGGGTCGTCCATCTCACGATTGTTAGTGAGTAATGAGGGGAATTTATGTTGCCAGTCCGCTCTGTCGGGGCTGTGATATTTTTGCAGTATCATTGCTGCTTCGAATACTTTCACTTCTTTTCCGAGCAATTGTTGCCAAAGTGATAACTACTCTTCCATGGGTAACGTCAACTTTGGCATCATGCATCGCTTTTTACCTGGCGGATTAAGCAATCACTTGTTGGCAAAGCTGGGGATCGTGGATACGGATATGACATGGACATGTCGTTGTCTTCAGATTCCCAACAATAGCGTTTGGTTGTTTAGACCGTCTTATTTTAGTTTAGGTTATGAATGATGAATCTCCTCTCTACTCATCTCATTGAGTTTCTGATGTGTAGTCGTGGCTGTACGTGATAACGTTTGAGACAAGTGAGTACAGTGTAGACAATAGTATTTCCCGTATTTCGTATACGGGTTAGTTTAGTGGTACGTATCGAGTTTTTTCGAAATACATACATATATGGTATAGAATTCAATACCACTAAAAGTATTCAATATCATTTAGTTATTTAATATTATTAGTAATATACTGAAATACTGGAATCTAATATAAAATATATATTCCTATCTAAATTAAACTAGAAATAAGGGATTCCTATTCAATTTGAAATAAGGAATAGAATTTTATTATTTAATTTGAATAGGAATATATATTTTATATTGGATTCCAGTATTTCAGTATATTAATAGTATTCTCTAGATATATAAATATATACAAAAGTGGTATAGCCTTCTTTCTATATATACTAGCTGTAATATCAATATACTAATACGCGCTACAGTTTCACTATAGTATACTATTGCCTACACTGAGTGAGTAGGTAATGTTTCCATCAATGCTGGACTAGTAATGCCACCTCGCATCTTGTATAATTGTTGGATTGATATGCTTTAAAAGTTACGAGAAACTGTGATATTTTATAACATACATTCTCTATACAGTGACTATACAACTCTATAGCATACATGAAGAAGACCATATTTGCGACTCACTGAGTTTTAACACATACTATGAGCGAGATCTACACCGAGCTTGAAATCCAAAATGCTGATTCATCTCTAGCATAATCAGTCAAATAACATGGCAATGCTATGATTTATTTCTTGTTACCATGGTCCAACAGCACATGTCAACTTTTTTTCAAATCAAATACCTAACTCACCTTCCAATCGAATTTCAATCAAAAAACAACATTCTCAATTCTCAACTTGTTCTATCCTACCTAGGTACTATCCAAACCTTTACAATTCTTAATCTAGCAATACAGTATTCCCGAGTCTCTGATCGATCCTCCTTCCAATCTCGCAGAGATGAGTATCTATATTTCCACATCGTGTACATTCGATATATCCAAGTACTTTTTATTTATTCATCAAGGAGCTAGAGTATCTCACATCTAATCCAATTCAACCCACAGCTGAAGTCCATCTCCAGGTATCACAATTCAAAAATGTACCCGCAGCAGGACAAAAACCTTACACACCCCCATAGGGATCGGAAAGGAAGCCGAGTCGATAAATTGATGCAGCGACATACGTGATACATTCTATGTAATATCGAGCAAGATATCATATCGATTGATCAACCGGATGAGTATTTCCACGCGGATTCTCCATTTTCCACTCACTCAATCGGAAACTACCTACCTACCTACTTTTAAATACCCAATCAATATCCTATTCAATTCTACTCTACTCGTTCGTATGAGTCCAAGTCCATCCTCCCCATGGAATATCTTCCTACATCTAGCTCTCCTTAACCATAGCCGAAAATATCTTATCATGTGATAAGGTTAACTACCAGGTTAACATTATATGAATGTATCCATGGATCACCTCGACTCTAAGTATGAATTGGGAATTGTGTGAACTGAGATCTACCTCCAAGCTTCCTCTATACTATTTTCGATACATACTCACTACTTACTATATCATAAGCTCTTTAGCCCTTCATACCCCCCATATCGATATCTCGAATGACTATCTTAATCAATCTTCTCCCTTTCTTTCATCTCGATATTAAGAGTAACCTTTTCCCCAGGGTATACCAATGATACCCCTAGTAACCATCTCTACGGATCCCATAGAACCTAGTTAGATATAACCTCATCACTCATTTCCACTCATCAATCCCAAATTTCACATTAAATTTCACACGTACCTAGTATATACCCTATCCACCACACGCTCTTTCTCGATACCCACCCTCTACATAACCGAAAAAACCAGCGGAAAATGAATACTCTCTCAACGGACTTTTTAAAATAAATTGATTATTAATTTATCTCAAATGAAATATAGAAATGTGAAGAGAGTAACCGAAAAGTTGAGTTTTCTTTGTATTGATGTCATGGTAAGCATTTTTATTATTTAGTATTATATCAAAAAAAGGATTGATTGTAGTTGTTGAAATCTTTCAGTTGATGGTCAATTCCCGCCTGTTATTTTGCTGATGTAGGAGTTAGGTAGTATCTTCACAATTGATTATTGTCCGATGACCTCATAGTCAAAAAATCAATCTTCGTAACCAATCAGAATCTTAGAGTATGAGGTTCACGTGATATTGTAAAAAAAGAATTGTTGCATGTCTGAAATTTGAGAGCGATTCTGAAAATATGGGGTGGGTGCTAGGTAGGTAGGTGGGGCTGAGTGGATGGATATCTATTAATCTCTGTTGCTGGTGTCTTGGGGATACATTGTGTGTTGTTTGGAGATTTATTGAATGGAATGGTATTCATGTTCGGATGATTATGATATAATGTTTATATCTTTTATGCTTCTATTATGCTGTCTATCCTTTAATGATACTATACCTCAAGTGCAAGCAAGTAAGTGAGCAAGTAAGTAATAAGTGTAGAATCCGACTCGGATAAATGTACGTGAACCCGATTCGTACCAATATTTCCTCCCAAAACACCCCTCCGAAAGCATACCCGAGGTTTGTAAAGGGGGAAGAGGGGAAAAAAATCACACGTTCATGGGAGGCATATACGAAAGTAAGAAGTATTTGGAACTTGATCAGACGTAACTAACACATCTACTTGTTGATAGGTAGTAGCTAGATTTGCGTAAAATGTTCAATGAAAGACCAGTGAAACATAGGCATCGTGGATGAATTATGTAACTAGAATGGTTCATTGATGGATAAATACAAAATGTTAATTGTGTAGTGGGATTGATTGTGACTTCAGACTGCAAGCACCTGTTTCGATCTGATTAGCTTCTTGTATGCTGTCTCGACTGTACATCTGATGTTGACATTGACTCGTGAAATGATAAAGTTCCCTCGTATGACTTCGTATCTGTTTGCAGCATGTTAGCTCAGCAGCCTCATCGACCCAATTCCTGGGCTTCACTTGAAACTAACATGCGCTTCGGTTAGATCTGAGCCACGTGGTGCATGATATACAGAGGAGAGGGTTTATGACGGATATTGACTGCATGTCGAAGCATGTAGCAATTGGTGAGGGTATTCCAGTATCACGATGGAGTAATGAGATAAGATGATCTTTCTTGGGTGTCTCTTGGAGGTCTCGGGGAATTTCTCAAGGATCAGGTCTCAGCTCTCGAGGGAGAATTGGCAATCATTGATACCATCCAATGGGTACGGTAACTTTATCAATTGTGTGATCATTGATGATGATCCAAAAGGAGATGCGGAGAGTGGAGAATTATTTGTGAATGAGGAAGGATATGCGATAAAAGCAGCATTGGATTCAGGGTCGCATTCGCCGTGTTGAAGGGTTCCCAAGGTTACATAAGGTGACATTTAAGATAAAGAGATAGAAGCGAAAGAATTCGAAGTAGATAGGAGTTTACAACATCTCGAAAAGAAATCTGAAGGCGAATGTGATTAAAAATCAAGATGTAATTATCAATGTTCTGGAATGAATGGGATTTGAATGACCATTCTTTCGCCGGCAAATTCTTTTCAAGATCTTGAGTAAAATTTACATAATTATTAGACTTCTCTATGAAAAAATGATCAATTTTTAATTTCGATCGCGTGATATTGATACCTGAGGCATTTATCAATCGCACGCCATTTTCAGATTTAAATTTATTTGTCGCCTCTGGGAACTTCCAAGTTGGAAAGGAAGTGAAGGAGGGAATGATAAGTGAAGTCAGAGTATTGAAATGAGAGAAGTTAGAAAACAAACAAGACAATACCTACAACCACAATAGCACGACACAATACAATGAATGCTATTCTAACCACTTTGTGACAATACAAATCCCATCACAATTTAGTCTTCTAAGAAAAGATTATTACCCCAGAATCATAACTTTCATCTGTACACCGAGACACCGTAGTCTTCTTTTACCCCGGAATTTTCTGATACCAATATCCAATATCCAATATCCAACATCCAACATCCAACATCCAACATCCAACATCCAACATCCAATATCCAATATCCAACGTCCAAATATCATACCTAGTAATCTACCTCCTACCTGCCTTACCTACCTGGGTAATCTCACACTAAAAATCTTGGTCCCCTGGTTAAAACAACACCAAAGCACGCAATAAACCGAAAATTGACCTCAACTTCGCCCACCAACCCCGGCTAGCTACTCAGCGACCCTCTATTAATTTGACTGGCGATTGCGCGAGCAACAGAAGAGAGGACAAGAGACAACTCAGCAAACAGAGGAAAAGCAAAAGGATTTTTATTTATTTACAATTGATGGTTTGACTTAAAAAAAGAAACTATTCATGATCATCGACCTTACTTCAACATATTGCGCGTTCGAAACATTCATTGCATTATCTTACTGGCCCCGGTCTTAACACCAATCCATTTCGCAATCCTACTGGACCTCTCCACCATTCCTTAACATTTCACCATAACATGGTCACTATGGCGTCAAATCATGACGAATCTTCAGCATTGCGCCATAAAGTCGAATTGGATCTGGAGCGGTCAAGAAGGAATACTTCAACAGGAGAAGACATTCAAGAATTATGTTTAGCAACAAGAGAACAATCGAATCGCGAAAATCTTGATACGGATATAGTTGAGTCCATTGAACCTCTTTCAATGGAAGATAATTGCAGAGCCGATCACGATCACTCGGATCCTACCATCACTATCTCGTCCACCAGCAAGTTGGCAGGTCAAACGGTTGCGCCTTTCCTTGCGAAACACATCCCAGTACAATACGCTCCTTTTGGACCTCCACAAACTACATCAACCTCACGAAAGGATCCAAATACCAAATACTGCTATCGACATCGACCGGATTCGAAATGTCGAAGAACCGCAGACGAACCTACAATGGAGAATCTCCAAAGAGTGCGTCACACAATCTACCCCTCGCCCCTCACATCTCACCCCTCTTACGGTCCTCGTACATCTACTAACATGATCATAGGAACTTGAGACCTTGTCGCAATCAGATCAACAAGGTATCTCTCATGTTTGGACACTCTTCTCCGCTGCACCATCGAAACATCGAAACCTCATGCTTCAGGGCATCTTATCGCAATGCTGCTTTCCACAACTATCCTACCTCTCCTCCGCTGTCAAGAATCTCATTCGAATTGACTTCATTACCGCTTTACCTTCCGAAATCTCCTTCAAAATTCTCTGTTACCTCGATACAACTTCTTTATGCAAAGCTGCTCAAGTCAGTAGACAATGGCGAATAATGGCGGACGATGATGTGGTTTGGCACAAAATGTGTGAACAGCATATTGATAGAAAATGTACAAAGTGTGGATGGGGTTTACCATTGTTGGAACGAAAACGATTGAGGGATTGGAAAAGACAACAGCAGTTGAGAGCTACAGGATTAGGTCTTAATGGTCAATCACCTCAGATTACAGCCATGTCAGATACTTTGCGCAATACGGAAACAAGTGTTGTGACATTGAATGCTTCAGGGAAGAGAAGCGCTACTGAGCCGGAGTCCCCAGAAGAAAGTTCAAAGCGACAACGTACCAATCCGGAGGAATCATGTCTGGGAAGGCCAAGATTCAGACCATGGAAGGACGTATACAAGGATCGATTCAAGGTTGGAACAAATTGGAAATATGGTCGATGCTCGTTAAAGATATTCCGAGGTCATTCGAATGGTGTTACTTGTTTACAATTCGATGACAATATCCTCGCTACCGGATCTTATGATACAACCATCAAGATTTGGGATATTGAGACGGGAGAATGTTTACGAACTTTGCGTGGTCATACATCTGGAATTCGAACATTGCAGTTTGATGATACCAAGTTGATTAGTGGAAGTCTTGATAGAAGTATTCGAGTATGGAATTGGCGTACTGGAGAATGTATGTCCTCTTATCCAGGTCATACTGATGGAGTTGTTGGTCTTCACTTTGAAGGAAATCTTCTTGCCTCAGGTTCTATTGATCGAACGGTCAAGGTCTGGAATTTTGAAGATAAATCTACATCCAGTTTACGAGGTCATAAGGACTGGGTTAATGCCGTCAAAGTTGATTCAGCTTCCAGAACATTATTCTCTGCTTCCGATGATTGTACTATTCGACTTTGGGATCTGGACACTCGACGTACAATCAAGACTTTCGAAGGTCATGTGGGTCCAGTTCAACAAGTCACCATTCTACCACCCGAGTATGAATTTGATGATGTGGATGTTGAAGAAGCAGATGATGGAACATCAAGTACAGCATCGTCAACTGAACTCAACCGACCAATAGGAGAAAGTTGTTCTTCCTCCCAAGGATCCTCTCTCTTCGATTCTTGGCCAGCAGGTCGTCCTCGTCCTCCTCGTTATATCCTCACTGGTGCTTTGGACAATAATCTTCGTCTTTGGGATGTATCAACAGGTCGCTGTCTTAAAACACTCTTTGGCCATGTGGAAGGCGTTTGGGCACTTGCAGGTGATACACTGAGAGTTGTGAGTGGAGCGCAAGATATGATGACCAAAGTTTGGGATGCGAGGACGGGAAAATGTGACAGGACATTTACGGGTCATAGAGGCCCGGTGACGTGTATTGGATTGAGTGATAGTAGGATGTGTACAGGAAGTGAGGATTGTGAAGTTAGACTTTATAGTTTCAAGGGAGAAGTAGAGGGTCAGGACAAGGGGAGTGAGAGTACGGGATTCATTGAGGAGGGAACGACACCTTGAGTGGAAGTGGAGAGAATTTTCATTGCTTCTGGGTTTGATTTAAATTACTAGCCGACTGGCTATTTATGGACGGATGGAAAGATACCTATTTGCAATGTTCATCGTTGATGGGTCTCTTTCAAGGTTTTTATTGGCAAACATCAAATGGGATTTATGATGGGAGTTTGGAAATTGGAGGTTAACATAAATCAATGGGATATGGATTCTTCATTATGAATGAAGATGCTTGGGAGTTTAAATAGGAAAGGGTTGGTCCTGGTACTGGAGTTTTGATTATTTGTTGGATGATGAACTGGCAGGTTCTTCGAACTATGAATGATGGATTGGTGGATGGTTGGTTGGAATAGAAAGAAGGAAGGAAGGAATTGAAGGAAGGAATGAACGGATATGATTGATCAAAGTTATATTGGTATTGTTATAATCTTTACTTTGTGGGATGGGGATGGAGATGGGGACGGATTAGATAAAATTCATTTATGTAGGTAGGGAAGTTGTAATGAGTATAGTGTGGAATATTATTGAATGAAATGAACTTGATTAAACTGAATTGAACTGAGCTGGAATTATGTGAAATGAAAAAGGAGGAAAAGAAATGAAACGAATCCGGAGCGAATCCTTGGGATGTATAATGGAGAGAGAGTTGAAGAGTTGTGAATGAAAATTTTGCTTGGATAGAAGGTATCTAGTAAATGTTGTTTGTTTGACTAATGGGTGAGTGGGTGGGTGGGCGTCTGTTTGTATATTTTTTTGGAGTGTAGGTAGTTGTGCTGTTTTGTTTTTCTTGGGATGGGACTCAGATGGTGCTCGGGTAGAACTCGGGTAGTCTTCGGATAGCACTTTTCGGGTAGTCCTCGGTTATGTGGATGGTTATGTGGATGGTTATGTGGATGGTTATGTGGATGGTTATGTGGATGGTTATGTGGATGGTTATGTGGATGGTTATGTGGATGGGTTTGAAGATGGTTAAAGCTATTATTGTAGATAGGTATGTTTATGGTAGGGTTGTTTATGATAGGTTTGTATATGGAGAGATGGTTATTGAGAGATGGACATTGAGAGATGATTATAGAAATAAATATTGTATTTTATCTTCACTTAATATCTAGATTATTGGGTATTGAAGTTGGAAAAGAATAAAAAGGAGAGAAAGGAGAAGAGTAAAGAAGAGGGAAGGAGGGGAAAGAGGAGAGGAGGGGAGAGGAGGGGAGATAGAGAAAAAAGAAATAAGGGAACATAAGAAATAAGAAACTGTGGGTGGAAGAAAAAAAGGATAGGGAGAGGAGGAAAAGAAGATGAAAGAGAATTATATGTATAGGGCAATTCAAAGATTAGAGGTAGTGATTTATAGAAGTAGGGGGAGGTAAGAGGAAGATTCCGGATAGGGAGTTGTATAGGCGTATAGATATATAAGAAGTTAGGGGCTAGGATAGTAGAATATTGGAATTAGAGATAATAAGAAAGAACTAGTTGATAGATGGAAAGAGATTGGAGAATTGGAAAGTTGGGTGAGAAAAAGGGAATCAGGGTCGGATTGAAAATGAATAGGGAGGTGACCCCTTCTACTGCTGGCTTACCTTCTCGATCCATGTCTTCAGAATGGAGAGGAGTCTTGAGTCCATTTGGAATGGGTGAGGCATGGTACATAGAGGCAGCAAGACAGTTTTGTACCAGCTTAGATTGTTGTCTTGTGGCACCAGTGTTGGCTAATGAAATTATCGAGAGTCCTGATGCATCATGGAGAAATTTTCGGAATAGTCATCTTTATAACTGGGCTCATTCTCAGGAGCTCTCTCCCACATCAAAGTTTCAGGAAAACATCAAAGAGTGGCTTGGATCATATGAGAAGAGCTTTGGAGAGCGTCATGGCGATCGTCGTTTTAAGGTGCACAAGGGCCTCTGGAATCCCGAGTTATGGGATGTTTCCGCAAACAAAAACTTTGACAGAGAAAATCGGACGGTGATGGACAATCATGCTTTCTCAGCGATTACTCAATTCGGACTCTAGAATTTTTGATAGCATGCATGGGCCAAGGCTAGCACATTGTGATATACTTTATGTAATATATACTTTGCTTCAGATAGCATAGTCAATACAGTGTTAATGCAAAATAGCACTCATTCTGATGAACAAGATACTGATTCAATCAAAGAATTCACATAATCCTGTGTTTGAGGGAGGTATACTCCATACTTCTACTGTCATTCCGCCGTAGCTGGGCATATACACTCTGCTCCAAAAAACAAAAAAAAAGCAAAACGCGTAAAATGTTGTCATTGAATATATTAAGTGAGGCCACCATAACAGTTTAAGTACTAAAAGTGCTGTGAAATTTGATTGGCAAAGCCGTGATTCTCACAACCGTCGTTAAAACTTTTTGAAATACACCCGAGCAGCCATGATAAACTCACCAAACACAACTCGCACCTCAACAGCAAAATCTGCGCAATTCATCAAAAGTCTGAGAACGATAAGATGAACGGTCCAAATTCCGTTCAGACGCCAAATGTGACGGTTGATCTCATCAATGATTCGAGAGTGTCAAATGGATTGGATTCGATCAACCTTAAGAGAAAATTCCGTGCTGAAGATTCAGACGATGAGGAGGACACCATTGAATCACAGAAATCAAGAAGAAAGGTCGTCCGTTTGAAAAAACATCCATCATCACTTCCAAAAGACGACCAGGAAAGCAATATCGGCACTTTTCCTCATGGTGAAGCCTCATCTTGCGGTTCTGCAAGCAATTTCTACGACAACTCCGCGATTATGCAAGTTAAGACCAGCAAAAGAGAAAGTGAAGAAACAAATCTAGGAAAAATCGACTACGCCTCAGCAGTAGATGATGCGAAGAGTGCTACTTGGAGGGATAAAGATAATGAGGATGAAAAAAGAGCTACTCCATCTATAATCCAGCGAAGTATGTCCATCTTTTCGAAAAGCGCCCACATTCTAACTAAAAATGCAGAAACGTTGAAAACCATGGCAGAGTCTACATCCTTCCTCCCGAATGAAGTCGTAGTCAAGATCTTCGAAGCCATCTTGCGATTGCCACGAGAGCCCGGATCACCGTCAATTTCGAAACAAGACTCAAAATCAACTTCAAATTCGACAGAAGATGAGGAAGATAGTGACTTGGATATCTATACAAATGGCGAGATATCAGAGAACTTTGGAAGAAAGGAATTCGGAACAGACAACGATGGAATCATTGAGGCTATATGCTTTGCTCTTACATGTTCTAGATATTGGACCGTCTTCCGCGATATCTGGTGTTATTCAAATACCAACAATATCATCAAGGGATTCGAGCTATCGATGCCACAAGAGCTTGTTCTGGCACCTCTTCTAGAAATATGGATGGGTGAAAAGTACCGTCGTTCAAACCTCCTCACGATAAATCCCGAATGGTCTACAGAGATAGGCGAGGATGGATCTCAAGGATACATCAACATGTTTCTTTCAAGAAGTGTCTATGGACAGGGAGATAATGAACGTGATCTGCAAAAGGAACAGTCTTTATGGGACAGGTACAAGGCTAGGTCTCAAATACTAGATTGCAGTGAAGGCAATAACTTAGAGGATTTTATATTAAGTGGAGAGGAGCTGCAGGATTATCCTAAAATCCCACTGCCGAGTCCTTTCAGAATGGGCAGCAGCTGGTATTTAAAAGCAGCCAAACAGTATCGGGATATGTTCATAAGTTGGCAATTCAGATATTCCGATTATGATAATATGGCCATTGAGGAAGATGTTGATAGTCTGGCTGATACCGACTATGGTCAGAGCATTGGCCCCCACAGCTGTGCAATGCAGCATTCTTGGGAATCCTTTTGGAAATCCGCAATCTTCAAATGGGTTGAAAGGATTCAGTCTTCAAATTACTCTAGGGATCGCCCCTTGACTCAGGTCCAAGATGAGTCACTTCAAGTTGCAACGGATATACTCGAGCTTTATCGGGATGCTACACAATTCGATATGATAAGTCACGTTTACGAATCTACGTACGATGGTGGGTTGGAAGAAATTTATGGGCCTTTTCTAATAGATAAATGGGAAACGTACGCATTTGAAGTTATGTGCTTTACAACCTATTATGGGCATAATTTGTGGGAGCCGGAACTTCCTCTCCACTAGTAGTCAAGTTAGCAATACAGGTACAACTAATAATATATCCAAGATTCAGTCTCACAATCTCCGTGATGTACGTGAAACTTTTATATATGTATGATATAGAAGATCATTACGTGGTCAAGAACTCCTCACACATGTGATCATCGGGATTTATTTACCTTGGGATTTTTTGCGGTGCATATTCAAAATAGCATGCTGTCTATAAGCCACCAACAAAATGCAGAAATCATTCTGTCTGGACACCAAAAATTATATTCCTTCATCTCATTGATAGCGATTCCTTAGTAGATGATCTAGTCAACACAGGCGCCCCTGCATTTGAGTATATTTGAACATGATTACATTGGAGGTATATGTCATCACGTTCGCGAAGAAACATAGCGATATTCACAGCACAGAACCAGTTAACAAAGAGGTGCTCCTAGCAGAAAAATAAAAGATATATTGTCTCTCCAAGATCATCTAAAAATCGATGGTTTATATTATATCATCGTGTCTCCCAAAACCTGAATTGAACAACAACAACAATGGAACTAGAAACTTCGACTTCAAATAGACTTGGTACAAGTACAAGTAATCCTCGATTTATAAATGGCTTCGTCAATTAACACGTAATTCTAGCACTAGCGGACCAATTTTAGACCAGATTCAAGGTTTCATAGGTGATCTAAAAGTGGTTGAGTTGTTTCTCAAAGAGGGTACGGATTTTATTATCTCGTTCAAATGAATCCAGATCCAGACTATGAGATAACAAAGGTGTGCGGGGATTTCAAGGCATACTTCGGGTTATTTTTCGAGTCACTGGCACAGAATAAGTGGAAAACAAGCTGCGAGATCATGATAGCGACGGCAACTAGGATCTTACTTCCTGTCTGTTTGGAATTCTTTATTTTAATCCGAACAGTTCTTTTAAGCATGCTTCTGCCTGCTCATGCCTTGGTAATTGACCAGTAAACTTGTGGTGGTGATCGCATGTATCATTGAAGATTTAGCAGCACATTATGGAAATACTTTGTTCAAATAGGATCAAAAGTCAGATAGGTAGGCAGTTTCTACAATCCTCAGAATGTGTTTCTCGTCCTCCAATTTCGCGTGTAGCTAATACTTTCTGCCAGGAATACCTGGGTCTCTTGTCGAATGTTAGCATCATTTCCCTCCACAGCGCTATAAAGGCGTACTTCTTTAATATGTGCAAAAATGTTCCCTACGGTATTGTCCACCCGTGAATCTCTCTAGTTCAGGATATCATCTCGTGCATCACCCCGCGCCCCGCGGTTACACGCAGTGATCCAATCAAGGCTTTGCTTAGACTCACTTGTTTATGTGATATCAGTAATCAAAATTTAAATTATTTAAAATATCCTACCACTTATGAAACCGTTTCTGAGAGAATTCAAACTTAGTTTTGTTCTTTGAGCGGTCTGAACTGGGACAAATGTCTCCTCGCTTAACCGTGACGCTACGGCTCGGACCCATTGTTGATTGGTCCGGATGCATTGAAAATTCACTAGCCGATTGAGGAGCGGCCTTAAACGTAGGCCAGGCGTGTAATTAACAAATCTAGGCAGGGTAGGTAGATTACCGTATCAAAAAATAGGCGTATATTCTCGCAACATTTCAAGTTCATGCATTTTTGAAACCTAAGTCTTCAGACTCTTGATAACAACATTGCCAATTTCGAAATTTTGAACACCAGCAGCTCTCTCAGGTCAAGAGGCAAGCAGCAGGGATCTGTGTTTAAATTTCCACTTTGTTTAGACAGTTTAAAAGAACTACGGAGAGAATTTGTCTCCGACATAATTATAATTCAAAAAGATATCAGTAAATGAATCGCTACCGGCAAGCTACATTACAAGAACCCACTTCCAAGACTCTCCTTCCATCACCTTTTAATCGGCTTCAAACATCCGCTTACTATACAAGCGCCCCATCTCGGACCCCTTTCAGAGCTGGAGAGTGCAACAGAAACCAGTACTTTAACAAAGCAGAAAGTCTAGATGACTGGGTTCATGTTATGCCAGAGTTTATCAACGACAACGATGTTGAATTCAAATGCCACACATCCAAGCTAGGATCTCCATTCCAATTTGTTGAGAAGAGCTCAGTCAGATTGAAGCGTAGCAGAAGACAGCGTAGAGGTACGAGATTTATTCAAAACACTCGACCTGGTCGACGTTTAAAGTCGACGGAAGAGTTCAGAGAATCAAAGTTGTGAGTAGGTGGGTGAGGCTCCATTCGAGATGAGAAATGGCGCTAGGATACATTCTAGGGCGAATGGGCTCAGGGTTAGCTGAGATTTGTCATAGTGAGATTAGCAGAAGTAGTTGCGCAAGATGAATCGGTGGATGTTCTTCGAGTATCTAAGCAATGATTATCAATCTTACACAAAGAACAAGAGGTCATTCCAGTTGATATGAATACAAATATCAATTACTATCTTTTACTGAGCTGAACGCTCCAGGTACCAGTTCTGCCACCTCCAGATTAAATATAGGCTACAGGTCTTGCAAACATCTTCACAGATAATTGCCATGATGTAAAATTTAATATCTAGAGATGTGTGTGATGTAATCTTTCAAGGTATTTGTGGAACAAACTTGGGTCATCGTATCATTTAGCGCGATTATCCCCTTTTGCAAGATTACAAATTCTCTCGGCAGGTCCAAACCATTCATTTGTGGATAGTGTCAACTTTCTTTGCGCTCAAAGGTCTGGTGCGTGTAAAAGGACGTCTATATTAGTCTGAAGTTTATGAACTGCTAAAAGAAGAAGCAGGAGTACCAATCAAAAGCTGTGGACATGCGTTCAAGACAATGATATCTCGGCTTCTAAAAGGAAAGTGCGGCGTACCTATTTGAGCTTTGTAAGATTCTACACATTACGGTTGAGCCGTAATAGCATATATTTCACATGGAAGAACAGCAGTAGAATATCCTTAAATATCCAAGCCCAACTTATGCTGATATGGCAAGCATTAAAAAGTCGAAATCAGTGATCCTGATTGATAAGCCGTGCCAGAGCCGTATGTGATGGAGGGGGAATTTATATAGGCTCAAGGCGCTCCAAGATAAAAGGTTCTCTTCCTCACATACTCGTGAACATCCAGATCTGAACGAGTTCGAAGTTTAGTCAGTCTCATTTACAATCAATAAAGATCACGTAAAATAATACGATCCGAGTATCCAATTGAATTAGCGGTCCTCTCTATATTCTCATCAAATTTACCCCGACTCGGCAAGAGAGCTATTTCTCCCCTCAATATGCCAAAACAAGTTAGAAAAAAGATACCACCGCGACCATCGCAAAAACTTGATCAGTTCCCAAGCCGCCTTTCCAATTCTCTATACCTGCTCCATTTTGAGGCAAATCTGACTTCCTCTCGGAATCGCTCTCTTGAAAAAAGAAAAGGTCTACTCGCCAAAGCCAAGGAGGCTCACGGACGCAAGACCAAAAGAAGACTAGCTCTTAGAAGAAAACTCGAAAGAAGAGTTGTGCTCTGCCGAATTCGTCGAGAAAATAACAAAAGTTCACCACTGACAGTAAATCAAACAAGTAAGACTCGAAGGGAAGGTCCTGTGATCATACACTTAGTGTCAGAAAGTGAGGATACAGATATTGAAGAATCACAGAGCGAAGAGTATGGAAGCAAGAATGAGGAGAGGGGTAAAGAGAACGCCGGGTCAATTTTAGTAGGCGCAAAGAAGACCAGAAAAACTCCAAACATTGCAGGAAATTGGAGTCAGGCACATTCGCCTCAGGGTAGTGGCAAGACTGCAGATGATGAAGAAAAAGAAAAAGATCGCTCTGATTCAATTAGAAAATATACAGCAAAAACTAAGAGTCTGCCGCTCAATAAAGACATTTACGAAGAGAACGAAGGCGATGCCACTGCTTTCAGGGACGGAAAGAATCAAGAAAGTGAAGAGGGTGACGAGAGAAAGGAGGAAAAGGGTATTTGTTTTCCGCTTTCGAAATATATAGAAAATTCACTGAACCTTCCGATCGCTAAGGGCACGGCCCCTGGACCTAAACTTGGCAGAGACCTTGTGTTAGAGCTTCATCGGCTAGAGGAACGCACTATTTCAACTTCGAAGAATTCAAAACAAACACCTCATTGCACGAATTATCATAGCAATGTGATTCAAAGAGGTCAAAGATACATTCGTACAAAGAATATTACGCCGAAAATTCAAAAAGAAAAAGGGAACATTATCTCATCGTCAATACCAGCACTCAAAATAAAAAGCATCTCACGTGATGAAGACATTATGACTCTGGGAGTCAAGCGCAGAAAGAACGGGATGCCGAGGATACCGGAAGATGAGGAAGACAGTGAATCCGAAGAAGGAGAGTCTGCAATTATTACCGCACAACCACATTCAACTCCCTCGAAAAACACATCACCAGCACATGCCAGCATGGCTCTAGAGCACAAGCGGAAATTGAACACCATGCCAAGTACTGCACAAGAACAGGAGAGTAAGGGACAACCAAATTATGTCTCCAGTCCATCTCCTCCTTTACTAGATGGATCAAGATTTAAGCGCCAAAAGACAGCGCCGGTCGATTCGTGGGACGAAGTGAATAAAGATATCGACGGTGTACCCCGGGTTGAGTCCACCAGTTGGCTCATCCCAGAAAGCGTTACAGATCATCTTTTGCCCAGAGAAATTATCAGAACCAAATCACCAAAGAGTTTCGCCGATCTTCCAGGCTTGATAATCCGTCAGATCCTCGATACCGTTTGTGAACAGGAAGATGGAAAACTTCTTTCTTCAATATGCTTTGGACTCACCTGTAAACTTCACTGGGGCTTTTTCAAGGCCCGATGGTGTCCTCCGGGCAGTGATATGATCTACGAAGGATATCTGCCAAAAGAAGACCAAGCACTTCTAGCACCTTTCCTTCAGAGTTGGGTTCCAGAAAGATATCGAATGATGTCGGGGAAGGGTGGTAAAGGTGGTCCAAGCTTAATCCCAATGTTTCTTTCAAAGAATCAATACGAGGAAGGATATACGAGAGAAGAGGAAAGATTGGAGAAAAGATACGTCGCCTGTCTCTCCATCCTCGATGCCACGAATCTCGATGGTATGCAGCTAAATTCTAGCCGCGGCTTACATGCGATTATAGATAACACGATTGATTTGCCAAGCCCGTATGGAATGGGTCATTCTTGGTACGATGCTAGTGCCTCTGAGTACCTATTTCTTGTTGAAAAATGGGAGTATTCGACACTAAATGGTGACGGTCCTGGATTCAAAGCCATTTGTGAGTCGTGGTATACTTTTCAAGATACTTGTCTGTGGGACTGGGTCAATGGGAAAAACTTCAATCAGTTTCGTGAAGAATGGATGGATGACGAGGGAATGAAAGGAAGGCAGAAGGTCAAACAGACTTTACTGAAGTTTGACAAGAAGGTGAAACAATTTGAGGCAAGTAACCGTGATTCAGAAGATACGATTATTCCCAATCAAGACTATCTCCGTAGACTTCACGAGATAAAGATAGCGTGTTGCTATGAGTGTGGCGCGGAACGTTAAAAACCAGCCCTGGAGAACTCAGAACTCTACCGTGCCCGAGGTTTGCAATCCGCGCCACTCGACATTTAGGCAGCACCCAATGTTGAAGTTGAGATATTAGGTCTTTTTCTGATTCACGACGCCGAGTTTCGGTATATTCGCTGGTTACTCGAAGGTTAAATCATATAGGTCAGGTCCGAGATTAGACAAGCGAAATGTATACCTTTCGGATTAGCCTAGTATCGCGGCTATAAAAAAGAGGCCCGGAACCAAGCTAATATTATGAACAACCAATGTCTTAAATCAATAAAAGAATTGTTTGGTAGTCTTCCTAAAAATCTTGAGATTGAAATTGAAGTTGACATCAAAGTTGACATTCAATCAATAAATATTCAAGTCCTGATGTTAGAGAGTAATTAGGTGCTGGGTGCTGTAGTAGTCATTGTTTTCAATAAGCTGGTAAACTGAATCTTTGTACCATTCCTCTCTCCTTGTATATACTCCCGAGTCTATATAATAACTAGTCTGCTACTTAAACAGCCGACTATTAGTGAATAATTTTTTTCCAAAAAGACCGGAAATTTGTGGCTGTAATTCCCGAGCTCCAAATCTGTTAGCCAAGGTTTACCTTCTCCTGCACAAATTTTAAGGTCTCAATACCACCAAACTTTTGAGAGCTTTTCGAACCGGCTTACAAAAGACTTCCAAACAAGCTTCACATTTTAACAGAATCTATTCCCCAAATAAAAATGGGAAACGAAGTATCAGCACAAAGGGTTACATTTGGTTCATGTCCACCATGTCGACCATACACGCAAGTTCAACAAGAAGCCTCACAAAATACAGGCGCTCCCTCCACCAAAAAACGCAAACGTGAGGATTCTGAGGAAGATCACTCAATAGAGAATGTCAGGAAACGCAGGAAATTGCTGGTAATGGATGATGGTAGCCATAGCATTCTCACTTCTGAGTCTTTGATTGTCGTCCTGAAAATTGGTATGTTTCTTTACCTGGTTTCAATTTTTAATTGGGCATTAACAAGATTCAACATTCATTATCATCATTTCGAACTATCTGCCAAAACAGGAAACCTGACGGAATAGAGAAGTGCAGCATTTCTAGTAGAAAAGCAGATACTTCCGATGCAGTTCTGAATAGGTTGGTCATTGATATGAACAGGCAGAAAAAGGAGAAATAGAGAGAAAAACGCTTGAGGAGACAATGGGCAAAGTCAATGGACAGAAAACCTGGACGGTATCCAATAAGAACCCAATTATTTTTTGGTCTACACGGTATGATACTTACTGGATTAATCTTCCACCTGAGTTGATGGACTAATATCTTGTCAGCTACGACCCCTTCTCTACTTTCAAGAGAGTCAGAGCTTACGGCTGCTGGTACGAATCCAAAGTCCAAGATCAAGGAGAGTCCCGAAAGTACAGTGAGGTTCGGATCAAAAGCTTCCCCAGATATGAATGAATCAACAAGCTCTGCTGCCGAGGACTTGGGTCAAGTGTTTGTGGAGTTGAAGTTGCCAAAAAAAGTAAGTGATTATCCTGCTTCCTGTTATTGCGTTCTCTGTTTCGCGTCATCATAACTATTGAATGTCTAATTTGTTCTTCTTGTAGACAAAGCAGCTTATACCCCTCCATGGATTCAGATGTCGTATTCAACAAGAGATGATGGTGACCAAGAGAATTGTAGTAGCAAGACACAGATGGAGTAGTTAACAGAATTTAATGCTGTTATATATAATTTTACCTTTTCTATGGCTATGGACAATCTGATGAATGTAGATTATTCTAAGAATTCCACAACTATTGATATGGACCATTGAGCTCGACTTTGAGAACCCAAAATTCCGCTGCCCATCAGCCTTGAAAATGATCTACTCCAAATGATATGAGCTTAGCAGAAGCATGTATTCAAAGGTTTTGTAGGTAGCGACGCAAAGCAAGTCAACTTTTTTATGCATTGGTTGGAATTGATTAGGTGTAGTTTCATTCTTCTGATTTGCGCTTATTCACTGTAAATTTTTCTTGAATACCCTGGTAAAACTTACATATTTATGGCAAATCTTTTGCCATTAATTTTTGCCTTGGCATGGATATATCCTAATATCCACCATCTGCCTAGGTACTTCTCCAGTTCTGTGATGCAGCTCGGCTGGCTTTTAATTTTAGCCGAACCAGACACTATTCTTGTTCCTCTCCCAGAATGTCCACCTTGAACAACGCAATAACTACACTACCCATCAATTCAACAGATTTCGTCATCGATTGGTTTCATTGGGAATTCATGCAAGTCTCCATGAAATATAAATGCGATAAATGCGACGTTTTCTCTGAATGAAACTCGCAACCAGCCTTTCAAGTTATTCTTCTTCCCAGCCTACAAATCAATAAATCAACATCGCAATCACTTATTTTTCGTCTTACGATACATGAAATAGAACGCGCTAATCACCGGCATTGACTATGGCGCAACGTTTCATAAAGAAAGACATTCATGCCCCAATGATCGACTATCCCAATACAGACAAAGAATCAATCACGGTAATGGCAGCAGCTACGCCCCACAACAAACAGCTCCTACTACCTGAGATTGTTCTCAGGCTCATCGAAGTTATGGTAGAAGCTGGCGACGAGAAATTGAATCGACCTACAATAATCTGCCTTGGTCTTACTGCGCGTTTATACTGGGACTTCCTAAAAACACAATATCCCATGCAACAGAGGTCAGCTACTTCGTCATGTTTTCCAACTTCCTTGGAACAACCTTTTCTTGATAGATACGGCATGAGACGACTCGCGCTGGCGCTGAAGACATGGATTGGCCCTGACTATCGCCAGGTCTCGGAACTTTTTCTCAACGAGACAGTTGGCTGCCAGATCATATTTCTGCGCCGCGAGGTATACGGAGATTTATCTGACGACGATTCTATCCACCCTCGTGAAAAGGAACTCGCAGCGAGACTTCGACACTGGAAAGAATTCCCATTTAAAATTTGGCCGACAAATATACCTTTCCATTCTCCAATAGTCAAGACGTTGTCAAGTCCATACGGAATGGGTATGCAATGGTATCCTACAGCCGCCCGGGAACTGCTTAATATAATAGTCAGCTGTAAGATATTTCGACAACCCAATGTTTATATTCCTGGCCATCATCCAAGAATTATTTACCATGAGTTTTATGTTTCGTATCTTCATAGCATATTGTGGTATTGGGTACATAAGAGGAACAACAGAGACTCAAAAGAGTTGAAGAAGCTTAAGAGGCAAGTGAGAGATTCAGATGGCATGTTCGGAATGCTATGACACCAGAAGCCACCGCGTGCAATGAGGGATACTGGCTATGATACGAAGATTGAGATCAAAGATACCAATACTACATCTTGTGCAGTGCCAAACACCTTTCTCAAAGGACCAGAAGATTCTTTGTTATTTGGTCTGGTTTCATGGCCCAGTGCTTAGATTTTGATCAATGGGATGGCTAGTTATATTCAATTCTCGAAGTGTTTCTTCTTCCTCCTTCAATAATCTGCAAGCCATCAGGATGAAATCAGGGGGTATATTAGGGTTCTTCTTAATTTATCAACCATGTTACATATCAAAAGCTCCTGCAGGACAGGCTAGCAAAGGAATCAACTGTACTTCTTACTTCTCCACAATGCAGTGATGATAATGCTCAGAAACATACATTCTCAACTTCATAACCATGTCCTACGTGAATATCAATGTGAAGTCAATAAGCTAGGAATAATAAAGAAGTAAAATCACACACAAGCTCTTGTACCAAATTAGTATAAAGTCTTTTTACTGCCAGGAATGTGTGCAGGCACCTGCAGTCTAACATCAAAACGATACAACTGGTCGTACTCAAGGCATTGTTCAGCATCGAAGTATCAGGAATAGTTCGGCATATTGTATTAATTTAAATTATAACCTGTAAAGCTGCTAATTATACATGAGCTGAGCCAACTCATTATAAAACCCTAATTCCACTGGCATGCTACCCCCAAGCTGCCTGCAAATAGAACTATTGAAAGCATAGGAGAACAATGGGTTCGCCTTGTCTTTCTGCAAACTCCACATCTCTAATACAACGGACCCCAAGACTCCTCGATATCTCTCTCAAAGGCTTTCAAAGCTTCTTTCATTGAAGTTTCTTTCGGGAAACAGATAGCCTTGGTAACCCATTTCTCGCCATCATAATGTATCATCCATTTGAGAATAGTGTGATCTGGAATCATTTGCATAACTTCGTCCTTGCTTTTGCCCTCTTGTATATAATGACCCCTATGTAAATTATCACAGCCATTGTAAGTCCAGTTCGGCTTCCTCGAATATGGCCGATCGTATTGGCCAGTTAAATCACATGAACGTCTTCTCCATGAAGGCTTCCCTCCAAACTCTTCTCCTTCGTAATGAGCCCATACTCGTAGACTACTGTGCAAGTACTCCTGCCAAAAGTGTTGACGAGCAGGATACTCTGGCGAGTCTCGATTCTCGAACCAGGAACTGATTGGTTTTCCGCTGCCTTTGTCCCAATTCTGGATAACGCAAAGCAACAGGGACTTAGCCGTCTCTTCATACCAATCTGCTCCCTTTCTAGTTGGATCTGGAATGCGGAGACCGTTGTAGCATGGAAGCCTATGGAGCATACTGTTCAGTGGAGCTGTGAAATTATTATAGTCTTCAAACCTCTGGCACAGAGCTTGCTCCTTTGTATCTGTTTCGCCGTAGACTTTGCGTGAGAGAAACATTGTATTGTTGTGGAATAAGGCTGTCGAGTAGATTGCATCCATGGTCTGTAGGCGCATGATTCGGTATTGATCTCCCATCCAGTTCTTAAGAAGCGGAGCTAGCTCTCTTGTTTCCTTTCTTGTAAGACGATTTCCAAATAGATGGTAGAATTTTGCGACATAATGATAGTAGATACGGGCGGAAAGAGAAATACACCAGATTGTCGGCATATCATGTTTCTTAAAGAGGAGATCCAGGATCTTGTAAACAATTTCAGGTGGAATAATTCGCTTTTGGTCTGCAAGAAGATTATATATTGTTAGTCACTTGAAAGTAGAAGGATAGAGATTGAAGTCTGTCCTACCGTATTGAGATGAAAGAGCCAAATCCATATCAGCAGTGGCTACAAGATTCTTGCCAGCATCTACAAGATTCTTGCCAGCATCTACTGTCATGCTTGTCTTGTTGTAGTAGTTCATATCTCCAACCTTTTGGGCGGCGACTGCATCTTGATCAGATGTGGCGGTGACCATCTGATCACAAATCTTCATTGTGAACTGATTCATTTCTGTATGTGCTTGGCTGGATAGAATGGTGTAGAGTTCTTACTTCATCTGTCGAGATTTTTGGAGGACCTGAGCAGAGTTGTAGGAAAAATCTGCTTGCTGGGACACAAATATGTGCAAAAAATCCCCCCGGCTATATGGTTCAACCAAGACCAGTGGATATTCACTCGTGTATTATAATTAGGTAGATAGCAGACTTCACAATAACGGAGTAAGTTTTAAACATGAAATGATTGCATTTTCGAATATTGTACTAAACAGTAATGAGATTCTGCTAGACTACTTCAAAATCTTCGCGATCAAATTTCTGAGCCAAACAGAGGGAAGGTGTGCTCTTCAGTCACTGCTACTCTCTCAATGGCCTTCAACATATCTTTGATCGTGGCGCCCTCTTAATAACATATGGCGCGATGAAAACTATCCCGACCATTGTGAGTCCACGGAAGGGGTGGCACCCGACGGTCATACGCAGTTGTTACGACAAGGTTATCCTCAATTTTCACAACGAAGCCACTGCCATCTCCTTTGCCTTTATACTCGGATGGTCCCCCTGTGGCAACCCCAATCTCGCAAACTGTTGTGCATGTATTCCAGCCAGAATTGTCGCCGCACTTCGCACAAGCCCTGGGGGTGATGTGGTATAGTACACACTATTCTCTCAGGGTCGAACCAACCGCCAAAGCCGTTGTGGCTTTCTTCATTCCATTCACCCATGATACAATCATGAACTATGAAGTGTGCCATGTCTTCGTACCAGTCGACTTTGTTGCGGAGTGGAGGTGGAAGTATGGTGCGTGGGTAACAAAATTGTACTTGAACGGCATATTCATGTTGTGATAGTCCATGTGTCGCTGTGGCAAGTCAAACTCTTCCTCTCATGTATCGCCGTAAACCGCACGGGAGAGGAACAAAACGTTTGGTGTTTCCTGATATTCTGAATCAACTGAATTTAAACATAGGGCCGCGACGGTATTCGGACCGGCAACTCTTTAGTCGCCTCCAACCCAGTTCTTTAATAGAGGTGCAAGCTCCAATCACTGATCTAGACTAAGATTCCATCTCATATCCCATGACATAATACGGCCATCTTGTACCACCCCCCCACCCCCCCTTGTCTTCTGAGAAATGCTAGATAGTCGTAGCAAACCTTTGCTGTTAGGGAGACACAAATTATTGTCGGGAGCTCATCGGACCAATCGAGACAGTCGATGATTTGGTACAATATCTCCGGCAAAATCCTTGGTGTCCCAACTATGGTAAAGTCTCTCATTAGCCAAATGTTAACAACAATCAAGCATTAAAGGGATATGCTACCTTGTTGAGATCCAGAGACTAAAGTTGTGGGAATTGTCTCTGTGTCTGGTAGAGAAGTTTTCAAGGCTATCTTGGCTGCAAACTCTTTGGTGTTTTGTTGCTCAGGTTTTGGAGCGATTGTTTGGTCCGAAGGATCCATTTAGAGTAGATTCATTTCTTGTAAGATAGGATCAAGATGATCTGCTTCTGGGTTTCTTTCCATGATGTAGGAAGGATGAAATATAAGGGGACCTTGAGACGATTTGGATGCTTGGAATCTGTTTTAGGTAGTTTCGAAGTTGTGGGAAAGTTGCAGGGTTTAGGGTTTAAGTCGTAAGTAGTATGTAATAGGATGCAAGTAGGTAATCAACTACAATTCTAAGTTCCAAATCTCAAGAACTTTATATACCTACCTAACTCCCCCCCATTCCACTGCACCAGAACCAGTCTACAAGCGAATCCGAACCGGAATCAACAACCGAACTTCTATATATACTTGCATAACTCAAAGAATCACAATAAACATCAGAAGATCCATTCCAGAGCTCTTGTTCATTGTTAAAGTCATACAATAGAATTATTCAATGTCACTTGGAGTTTGGACCTGTTCGTACAGGAGTAGAAACTAATATTCCTCTGACTATAACTGTCAATAGCTATGAGAATTGCTTCTAGTACTGGAAAGGCTATGACTAATACAGCATCGTGGTGTTACGAAGCAAGTAGCAAGTTGATCACTCAGAACATTGAATATCAAGCTTGATGAATGGGTATCGAAAGAAAAGAAAAGAAAAATGATACCTCTTTCTTGGTTCTGTATTAGATGAATAAAGGAACCTCGGAACTTCAATCTCAATGAGCATTGAGAATTGACTGTCTCCTTAAGAAGGAACTGAAGGACAACGTTGTTCTGTAAATTCATCATATAATTTTCAATCTCACCAATAGTCTATTATTCCTGACATCCATATTAATGGATGGTACATAAGCTATTATCAGAAAGAAAAATATGCCTAGAGACTCCAAGTTTCTTTACATGGTTTTAAGTACTAGCAACTACTGGGAATAGTGAGTGCATTATATACAGGCAGTATTGCAAACAAATCAGAACTGTTTGCTCATGTCTCTCTGATACACACCCACACAATCATTTAAAAAGTAAATACTCCTTTCAAGACGGGTTAAACAAATAGAAAATGGTTTTACATTGATACCTTAACACTCCAGAATATTTCTTATGATTAGCGATGAATATGATCCTCTGCAATATACCTAGCTCCGCAAACACCATGCTAAAATATTGCTCTAGCTTCCAGTAAATACATCAAACCCTCTAGACCTCTTGCAGAATACCGAGTTCTAATTTCACCACCAAGGTCCATGTCCATTTACTCCATATGAAACCCACACCCATGCTCGCAATGCCCTTCAAACAACGTCCGAATCCGACAATTAGACAAGTTGACTGCCAAAATGGTTGGTCATTCTAGATTCCCCGCATCTCCATTGCTCTTTTCTGATACAACCGTGTCAATATCAGCAGGAGATGTGGTAAGATTTGACCCAAAAGCCCTTATGCCTCCCAAAAGTAAATGCGTATCCACATCTTGGTCGTCGATTGTTTCTCGCTGAACATTAATTATATGTTTTATGTTCAATTCTCCAGGAACTCTGAACAAGCACACCCATAATTTCTGCAGAACTTGCAGAGCGAGGATTTCCTCATTGGACGTGAAACAAGGAGAATGCATGAGTGCACTCGAAGGACTTCTTTCATCGCCACCAATATGCCGGGAAGCAAGGTACGCCAGGTGTTCAGTAAAGTTATAATCAGAAAGATATCTTTCTAGCGCAACCGACTGTTGAAATACTGGTTTCGCCTTTTGACATCTCGGTCGATCTGATGCACTCCTGACAGGCTTGAAACTCGGTCTGATCATCCAAGCCAATTGCTTTTCTGTGATCCCAGATGACCTCGCACAGTCCCAAAGTAAAGGAACTGAACGCGATGCACGCTGACCTCCAAATCCTTGACATTCAGAGCAATTCGACTTTCTCTTGCAGGATTGTCCCAAGGCTCTATGTTTCTGGTCTCGTGCGAATTCAAAAAAACGATCTTGCAATTGTTCGCCTGGTCCATAAGTCTGTTTATTATTGAAAAAAACGATTCGATGGATCAAAGACGTAGTTGCCTTCATCTCCCCATGATATCGTGTCGGAAGATGTGAGAAGGCTTCCATCTTCATAATACCCGGGATTGTGATGCAATAGACCAGAGTAGGACACCCCAAATACTCTGCGAATCTTCCATTCCTTGACCGGGACATGAGGACAAGGCTTGGATTGATTGTCAAATATTGCTCGAGATAGCAGATGTTTCACAGTGCCAGCCACTTTTTGATGGTGGGATTTCACATGGTCTATTGAGCGTTGTCGTCGGGCGAAGATTTGGTGGCCAATAACATAATCCTTTCCGGTGGAAGATTCTCCACTGCCAGTATGACATTTGCATTCGTATTTAAAGCGAGTCTCTTTGTCTTCTTTGGAGTTAGCGTTTAGCGAACGTGGCTGCCAGTCAGGAAGTTGCCCAAGCTCTCTTGAACATCTTGGATGCGTACGAGAATGATAATGTTCTCGAGGACTTCTATATCTAATTTAGCATTAAGTAAAGACTTTCTGGAATACAATATAACATACCTCTGTGAGTTCAGTGTAACTTTCGGAGAGTCCCTCTTGATTCTGATATTTTCCTGACTTATTTTGTGATCCAGACTGTTCTCCCTTGACACATACGTGTCATTGACTGTCTCAAGGGCCTTGTTAGAAATCCGCAGATAGTTCCAAAACGGAGTGGGAGGATTATCTATGAAACGGATACATATATCATTGTTAAGGGGAATTTGAGAATGATGACAGCTGAGAATAATCAACTTACCCATTTGCAACGTCGCCATAATTGTGCTTTCGATGAAGGTTCTCGACACCGCGCTTGTTGGTCCGGCTCTTGAAACCTCGTCACCAGTAGAATATGATTCGCTGGTACATTCGTTTTCATAGGCTTCGTAGCCAGGATTGTTTCGTTTCATATCCTGTCGATTTCTCCGAGGGCGATTGACGTAGTTCACAAGTGAGTTCGAGCAGCGTTTCTCATAGTCGAGATTATACTGACCCCATCCCCCTTCATTATTATCCCAGTCCAAGTAGCCATTATTTGATAGGTCGCAAGAACTACTGCTACTACCAGTAGTGGTGGCGTAAGCGCTTTGCGTAGCTTCATATTCAGAAAACCTTCCTCTGCCATGTTGGTGCGAATGATCGTCATCATCATCGCCATTATCTTCATCGTCGTTTCTTGGTGGTAAGCCTGGTTCATCCGCGTTTTTTCGTCGGGGATTGTGCAACAAAGGATCCCAATTCGAGATGTCAGCTCCTTCTTTGAAATGGTCGGCAACATGGTTTTTTCTCTCTTCCCAGTCTATGAAGTGGTATGTACAGAAACCACAGTACCTTTGCCACTTTGTTTTGTGATTGTATGTCCAGGCTGCAGAAGTTGTGTCAAGTCCAGGACGATGATGAACGTCGACTAGATGGGCTTGAAAGTGATCAGTCTTTGCTCCTGTGAAAGTTTTTTCCTTTCTTCTGGCTTCGATACAATTCAAGCTATGACTTTGCACTTCCTCAATTGTTGAGAATGCTAAAGAGCAGTAAGTGCAGCAAGGATTTAGATCTTCGTCTGATCGTGGTTCGGCACAGAGCATACACATATAACGCTTCTGTGGCCAATGTTTCTCAGATTCTTCGTGTCGAATCCAATCGGACTTTCTGCTTGTAGCATATGGACATCGTTCATCTCCAGGTCCGTATGTACATGAATAAGTAGGCGATAAAGGCTGAAATGGTCTAGTTGTTTCTTCATCCGAATGAAGCTCCAAATTTTGAATACTAGATGGTGTAGTAGTCTGTCTTTCAAGGTGAATATCGCGTTGTTCAAACACAGAGCTCGAAACGTCCGATAGTGGTATGTCAGAAAATGATCCATATGCTGAATCCATTTCCAAATTTGATGCCTCTAACATTGAGGAAAAATCAGATGTATCATCCGCAAAGATGGCCTCATCTATAAGCTTCTCCAACTGAAGAAATAAGGACTCGGACTTTTGTTTGAAGCGTCTGGACAATTTGGAATAAGGTTTCAGAGCTTCCTTCGCCTTCTCAAGCGGAGCAAACGCTTGAAACAGATGTTCCTTCCGTTCTCTTGCTCTTTTCCTGATAACGAAGGCACTGGCGCCCCCTGGATACTTTTTGGTTTTGCTTATGCGAGCAGATCCCTTAACTCGAGTTGTAGTACCGGATAAGTGGGTATCTGGGGCGGGTGTGTAGGCATTGGATTTAGACTTCGCTTTCTTATTGAAGTTCGACACATGCTTCGATGGCATTTGAACAGGGGCCAATGCTTGATATGAGTCCTGGCTAGGTTCAAGTTGGGTAGCATGAAGACCATGTACGAAATGGGGAGTAAACCACGTGCCCGATTCGATCGGACCATTAAGAAACGTAAGATTAGGTACATTCTGCATCAAATCATCCAGATAACTTGAAGAAACGTGCGATGTACCCAAGAATTCAGGGTTGGACGACCAAGAATCCACATCCCGTGATAAGGCTGTCGGAGATGTTTGCTCCGCGGAAGGTAAAGTCATTGTGAAAGTAGAAATTATTGAGTTTCGGTTTGATAAGTGGAATTGAATGAATGGATCGGGCAATGAGTCAAACGGCAGAAGAACAAAATGGACCAAATTGGACAATAAATGGGATTATGCTGGTGGTAACATCGAGGGCACACGGGATAACAAGGGCGCGAGAGCGCCTGGGCACGAGGGCGTGCATGATGACTGCGGACGGCGGGGCGAACGAGAAGGATGAACCAATCATGTAGTAACAATTTGAAAAAGGAATAATAGGGTACTAAAGGTGGATTTCTTTCGTGTGGATATATATCAATAAATCTACAATCCTAAGGATGTTGATGATTAACGATGTATCGGACGTGGGTGAGGTGGAGTTTAATGTGTATTCATGATGACTAATCTCTAATAAGAGTGCACCAGGGGGTGCACGGACTGACGGAACACGCGCTTTTTTGAAAATACCCTCAAAATAAACAATTCAAATTATAAACAATCAATTCAACTTCGAAATGCTATCAAACATATGATCAATTAAATATAAGGTTATTCTCACTAATAAAGAATTATATGGAGAATATAATTCATTAAAAAAATCAGTATTTTATAAAGAATTCAACTAATACTATATAAAAGAAAATATATACTTCATTTTAGTTTAATTAGATATATCAAAATCTATAATTTATTAATAACTTTAAGAAAAACATTTATTAAAAAGAAATATATATAAATAGATTTATAAACTTTTAAAGAATTTAGGGGAATCTATATCAATTAATAAAAATACTTATAAGATATTTATTTTATCTTTTTAAAACAAATTATAAACTGAAATTTACGAAATAATAATTGAATACTTTCAATTAGGAATAAAACAATGCTTTTTATAGAAAAATTTGAAGAGATTTATAAATTAAGATTAATATTATAAAACTGTTTATTCAAAAAAGCTTTTTATTAATATAAATCATAGAAAATATATTATTTTTAGTGATATTTATAAGTATAATATAATAAAAGAATTTTGAAGATATATTATATATATAGATAAAATGTATATAAATCCTGCCTTTATAAGGAAAGAAGAAATCCTAAAAAAAACTAGAATTCAATATAAATTAGAAAATATATTAAAATATTTTTTATTAAAAAATAATAAAATTTATTATAAAGTATGAGTTTTTTTCAAAAAAAAAGCTGAAAAACTTGAATTTTATTATAATAAGAAGGAATATATGAATAGATCAATATTTATATCTAAATCTAAAAAACAATTTAGAATTAAAAGTTCTAAAGAATATAAAAAAGAATTTGTATATAGAAAAGTAATAAATTATATTCTAAGGATATTAAACCTTAAGATAATATTATAATACAAAAATACTATATAGAATAACTATTTTCTGTTTATATAAAAGTTATTAAAAAGTTATAGATAAAGGATTTCATATATAAATAGTTTTTAATAAAGAATGGTAATAGTTTTTATAAATTCCTTAAATATAGTTTTATATAAAAGCTTAGAAATATATATAATATCAAAAATCTATTTTACCCTTTTAATTTATTTGATTTAAATCTAATAAAAGATATTTGGAATATATTAATGTCACGGAATTCACGGTCCTATGCAACAACACGTGATTCAACAAGGCACTCCTTAGAATTGCCTACTTCATAATTATTATATCAATTCTTATCCCATTTCATTTGTAAACCCTAATATCTAATTAAGCGATTCCATTATCCAATTAAGATATATAAAATAGATATAATCCTTATGATTATATCTCAAATCAATCTAGTTTACTATTACTATATATATCTATTATATAATCAAAGTGATCAATCGATATAGCTATCCCTTCGTGATAGTTATAAGTCTGGTTAGTATTTAAAGTTATGTATTTATATAAACAATCATATATATCTTTTACTCATTTTGAATTATTTATATTCATTTATATTCAATTCTTATATAATTTATTATATCTAAATCCAATTCTTTAGAGGTTATATACCTCGTTATTTATAGATATTGGTTAAAATGGTTTTTATATTTATAATATCTTTGTATATCAAAAAATATCTAAAAGAATATTAAATTATTTATTAATAAGATTATTCTGATTAGTTCTAGAGAATCCTCAAAAAATAGAAAATTTTTCTATTAGGTGATTTCTATTTATAAAAAAAACTAGCTTACCAAGGATCTATTTAAACTTATTGAGATTATAGATCTTATAAGAAAATATGATTTATATAATAATGCAAAGTATATTAATAATCTTACTACTTACTATAATTATTATCAAAAAAACTTATAAGGGGATATACTAATGCCTCCTGTACCTTCAAAAACATCAATTATTGAACCAATCAAACCTTTATTGTATACTTTTCAAAATATATTAATAAAATATTCAGTTTTACAAAAAGAATATTATAGCAAAAGAGATAAGTATAATACTATATATAAATTGTATTAGAATATTTATAAATAGATTAATGAAATAATGGATATATTCTACCTTATAGAAATTATTATCAAATATAAAAACTCTAAAGCATTATTATTTAAAATAATTATTTAAAAGCTTTAGAATAAACTTGTATTGATAATTATTATAGTAAAATCTACTATCATTTAAGAATATCAAAATGTTTTTCAATAAACAATTTTAGGTCAAATTAATTCTATTAAATAATATAATGAATAAATTAAAGCTTATACGAATACAAAATCATATTATATCGAAATCGAAAATAACTTAATAATCATTAATTTCCTATAGGCTGTGGGTATACAAATGCTTCTTATATAGACTAGTATTATATTTATTTAGATTAAAACTAATAATTAATTTGAAATCCCTAATTACTCTTTAAAGTAGTTTAAGGATATATTTAGTGGTTTAGCCTATCAAGATTTATTAGTATCAAAAGGAAAGGGTATCTTTTCTATAATAAATCCTTAACCGAAATCAATCCCATATAATCCACAAAGAAAGCAAGGGAATAGTTTAAGAAAGAACTACTTTAAAAGGAATAATGGCTAATACCATTACCCTTATAGATCAGAGTTTAATTGGAAAAGCAAAAGAGCTAATTCTAAACATTATTCTAAGACATATTAATCAATAGAGTTTATATTTACTGAAAAATATAATTCTAGGGATTTATTTTTATTAATAGAAAAAGAGTGTAATAACATACAAGAAAAAATCAAGAACAATCGATAATCAAATCTTCGAAAAATCTGGGAGTAAAAGGAATAAATCAATTCAAAAGATGGATTTTTTCAATCACCTAATTCTAGAGATTTAGAATCAAGAATAATAGTATATATTATTTAAAAGCAATCTGCTCATAGGATATACAATACGATATTTGTACTACTCCATCTACTCTCAGATAGTACTATACTTGACAGCAATAGTACTATATATTTTATTAATAATATAGATCTTTTTGATAAAAAGGAATATTTATTTTTCCTATTTTCTAACTATATCGAAATAGGAATAATGAAAATTCAAATTGTTGGATAAGGCATTCGTATAATCAAAAACATTCTACAAAAACCTCAAAACTCAAAGAATAATCTGGTTTTATCCAATATCGCCTATATTCCCGGATTTTATATTAATATTATATCAAAGATAAGATTTATAAAAATAGAAATATAATTTTTAGAAATAGATTTTATTTTATAAAAGAGCAATCTTAAAAATAATTATATTATTATTCAATATATCCATAAGAATAACCTTTTATTCTTAGAATATAAATCATTTTTCTTTTATTTATTTTTTTTGAGCTTTATACCAATAAATTCAAATATTCTTATATATCCTACAATCAATATAAATATCAAATATCCATTCCGTAAATCAAGGGATTTATTTAAACTATAGAAGAACTTTACAAAGCTATAGTATAAAAGATTAGGATATTTAGGAAAAGAGACTCTTGAATATCTCATCTTTACAGTAAGAAATATGAAAATAAAAGAAATTACTAAAATCAAATATATAGATTATACTTACACTCACACGAAATAAATAATATTATAAGCTTTTAATGAATATTAATCACCTTGTCCTTTTTACAAAATATAATGGGATTTATTTGATTTTTCTTATATATATATCGGAGTATTCTGGCTTTTAGTGATTAAAGATATATATAATAAAAAGATCTTCAGTTTTTCCCCTATATTAAAAAATACATTTTAAGATTTTTCAGATTATTTAGTACTTTTTTATATAGATATTCTGAAAATATAGTTTTTCAATAATCTATATTAAGTAAGATAATAATATCTTAATTATTAATATTATAGGAAATATTATATTCGAAAATTGAATAAACACAAAAGACATAAAATTAAAGCTATTATCACCCAATATATACAAATCAAATAGCAAATCAAAACAAATAGGATAAAAAGTAATTATCAAATAAATCAAAATACAGATATCCTTGGGAATATTAAATCTATTATGGGTAAAAATAATACAAGTTGCAATTTACCTATACAATGTCAGTTCCCTTAAAGCTTAATTATTTAAGTTATTAAATGAAATATTGAATATTTAATTTTATAAATACCTTCGATTATTTATTTTTTTAATTACAGATTATTTAATTATTGATTTATATCCAAATTAAAGTAGTATTTATTAATACAAATATAGAGTATATTTATTGAATAAAGAATAAAAATTAGATATAAATAAAAAGATATATAAAACTAATTCTAAAGTAAATATTGGATATCTTATATTAAGTTTAATAATCTATTATATTTGGATTTTTAAGCTTAAGCAAATCATTATTACTCGAAATATTACTTTTTTCGAAGAAACAACTTACAAAATAAATCTCTTAAATAAAATTATTAATATTTACATAAATCAAGAGTTATAGCAATTTATATTAGTTTTTGATATTTAATAAACTATTAATATTAATGGGATTATTATTAATTAAGAGGATAATATAATGACTTTATAATATCATACTACTAAAACTAATAATATTACTATATATATTATAGATATACCTTAAAATGAGTAGGATTTAGGAATATATTTGGGGGGTGGAAATATATTAATAAATCTTAAAAGTAGTAGTATATATAAGGCATTATATTCTGAAGAAATCTTAGAAGTGGAAGACCGAATTTTCATATAAGAATGTACTAATCAAACAAAGGAATTTATATATTCTATTCTAATTATATTGAGTATTTATAGTAATCAATTAGATAATATAGAATATAAGCATATTAATAATACTATTCAAGT